GCCTATAGTGGCTATGTCTTAATATTGTCCTGCTCCTACTGGGACCCAGGAAATGGGCGGACGCCCGCTCACTGCTAAAAGGTCCCCACCCCCACCCTATGGGGGGGATCCACAGGACCTGGAAGCCAAGTAATTCCAGGGGACAACTAATAAAATAACAGGAATAAGAAGGCGGTCAAACAAAGGGAATCTTGTCCTGGTGATGGGCATGGTGTCAAAACCTGAACAGAACAGAACTAATCATTGCTTCAGGTTGATAGGCTCTTGTTAAAGGGACATTGGCAATTAGAAACCACTTTAAATTTTTGTTAAAATAGTCTACGTACTCTTAAATCAACATGCCAACTTTTTTAGGTTTACTGTAACAATTTCATGTTTGTAAAAATGTCTTTTTCCTCCTTTGGTGTACAAAACACCAGCCACATAAACAAGGGAAACTAAGGCCACAAAGGAAATAATGAAACTAAGTATCAACAAATGCATAATTAAACTGAAATTAAAGGTGTTTTCTCTAATCTTTGCTACAATAATCATAGGTGTGCTTGGGAGGATAGGGGGCAGGTAAATGTTCAGATACAAATGTGTTTTTAAAGTTGATGGTGCCCCTCTATCTTTGGTTTAATTTCTTGCACCTCCATAGTGGGTGGGAGTGTGATAAAGTACAAGATTATGTGCTCAGAGACTCATCTGGGTCTGTATTTTAGGAGTGTCAGGTTGAACTTTGAATATATTTTCCCCTTCTTTAGCATAAGCTTTTAAAATGAGTATGAGCATGTTCTGCTGTTGCGGCATTTGTTGGATGCTGCTATATCTGCATTCAGAGACCATGTTTAACACCATCTGCTGTAAGTGCTGAGAATCTTAATACAAAAAAAGGTGACAAATTTTGAGTGCAGTTGTTACATGTAAAAAATATGGTTATTTATCGTACTGTAATTGTGGTTCTTTAAAATGTGTTGTCCATATATAGATTCCATTCCTGGAAACTCAAACAAGACTAATGATCTTGATAGCACCAGCTTGGCCCTGGCAATTCTGGTTCCCAGCCTTCATGAGACTTTCAATTTAGCCTCCAGTAACATTGCCAGTGAGTCCAAACATTGTCTTCCTGAACAATGAGAATGTCTAGTATCCAAATTTGGCCTCTCTACTTCTCACATTCTGGATGTTGACAATCATTGAAAGAGCTTGTTCTAGAGATTTCCAAAACATTATCCTACAAAATAGAAAGGATGTTACAAGGTTCACATACGCTGCAAAGTAGAAAAGTTCTCCTTATTGGCAGAGCAACATCATATTTCTCCAACAGCAGCAAACATTCCTAAATATCTGGTCTATTTAATGTTGATAAAAAGATCAGGGTTTTTTATCAGTTCTGTAAGGTGCACCTGGCAGCTCTATCAGGGCACCATCCTCCTGTTCAGGATTTCATCCCAATTTGGGGGGATTTCTTAAGGGACTACTACATGTATTCCCACCAGTGTGGGAGCCTTCACTCTGCTGGGATCTCAGTGTGGACTTAGGTGGGTTGATGGGTCCTCCCTTTGAGTTGTAGCATCATGTTCCTTACGCTATCTTTCGGACTTCTAAGTGGCAGTCACCAGCCGGTAGGATCGGGGAATTGCCTGCACGCATGGTAACCTTTTTTTTGTGCATATAGGGAGGCTATGCGTAGGCCCCATTCAAAATTTCTACCCAAAGCTGTTTTTGACTTCCACCTAAACCACATGATTCATCTACCAGTGTTATTACCCAAGCCCCACTCCAACCAAGGGCAGTCTAGACTACACTCTTCAGATATACACAAACCCCTTTATCTTTACCTGGATAGAATTAAAGTCATTTCGTATTTCACTTATATTGTTGCCTTTGTGGGGAGAATGAAGGGCCAAGCCATTTCATCTCAAAAGTTGTGTAAGTGGGTCTCAGGTTATATTAAGATATGTTATCGGTTAGCTAGTTTAGATCCACCAGATCAAGTCAGGGTTTATTTCACTTGAGCTCAGGCAGTTTTTCAGAATTGTTCAGTCTCAGAAATATGTATAGCAGCTACACCTCTACCCCGATATAACGCTATCCTCAGGAGCCAAAAGATCATACCGCGTTATAGGTGAAACCGCATTATATCGAACTTGCTTTGATCCACTGGAGCGCGCAGCACCCTCCTGGAGCGCTGCTTTACCGCGTTCTATCCGAATTCGTGTTATATCAGGTCATGTTATATCGGGGTAGAGGTGTACTTGGGGATCAGTTCATACTTTCTCAAAACACCATTCGTTGATAGGAGCTTCTAGACTGAATGTCTCCTTTGGCAGAGCTGTTTTACAGGTTTATTGCTTGTGGGCCATAAAGAGTGATATATGTATGGGCAAGCATTCAAAGAAGAAAAGTTGCTTACTTTAAATAACTTTTTTTTAAAGATGTGTTTTCCATATGTATGTTCCACAACACACCGTCCATGCCTACTTTTACAGAGTTTTATAACATTTGGATTCTGTATTGGTGAAGGAACTGTGAGGTTGGTTACCTTCTCTGTGCCCTTTGTGCTCTTGGGGAGGGTGGACACCAATGCATGCTGCTGGTCAAATGATTCTGATCTCGAGTTCATATGTACCAAAAGTGTAATATATATGGACAAATGCTCAAAGAAGATACAAACATGCTTACTGTTATAATTTTAAGGATTTTTAGCAGATTTTGCTGAGCTGCATGTTTTAATCTCTAAATTAGGAGGGCAAGTTTTAATGGCTATAAATAGTTACAAGATCATAGCCTCTTCTTCCCACCCCCTTTCAGTAGCTCTATAGTTCATAAAGATCCTCACTTACACTCCCCATTCTCCTTCTAGAGCCTATGCTGTTGTGATACTTGCTCTAGCAGAAAGGATCAAGGGGCTATTCCCTTCAGAACGCCTTAACACCACTCTTTGCAGTGACCATAGTCTTTTGCTGCTAGGCAGAATGGCACCTAGAGAGTAATTACTTTTCCCTTTGCCTAAAGTACACAGTCCCTCTGTGTTTCAAAGTCTCTTCTTGGCGTCTGAACTCTGATCCCATCAAGCTGAGTGATTTAAAAGTAAGCAGTTATATGAAAGCAAGCTATTTTCAGTTTGTGGAGAAACTTCCTTGTTAAACAACTTTTTCTTTTCGTTTAAAGAAAATAAAATTTTGTACCTTCAGTGTTGCCAGATGCTTTAGTAAATTAAAAGGAAAAATGTGTGGATGTCTTTTTATGGGCTTGATCCTGTAACATAAAGCACTGCACATGTGCATGACATCATTGAAGTCAGTGGGAGGCCACTAGTGGAAGAGTGTCTGTGCTTGCCAGTTCTGTTTGCAGGGTTAAAGTCTGTTGTTTTTATTTGTACTACGGTAGCACCTAAGAGTGGGACACTGTTGTGCTAAGTGATATACAGCCACAGATCAAAAAGACTGTCCTTGCCTATGTTGTGTGAGATGGTACTCTGGCAGATCAATTAGGAAGTGTGCTTTTCTGATTTTTCTCATGATCCTAGCGTGGTTTAAGATATGGTGATAATTATACTGTTAAACAGAAGCTGCATACTTTGCCTCAACTCTTTTTTGAATTGTTTACATTATTGCTATTATCCTATCTTGGCTTTCTCTACAGCCTTTCTCTTGGGCTGTAAGGTGACTGGGGGATTCTGAACGTATGAACATATAGTGTATGTAAACAGTTGACCTGGAACTTTTCCAACTATTGAGAGTAAAGGTAGTCCTTTATGTTTTTAGGATGATTTCGTCTTCATGCGTGACAATGATTAGGGTTTGGCTCTGGGTTCTAGTGCCATCGTACTTCATTTGTCTGGGTGCTTTGACTTGATGTGTCTTTATTCAGTGATCATTTGCATTTTTTCCTTATAAATTGTGTGTAAATATCTTTAAAAGAAATTGAGAAATGTAAATACAAATACTTTATTATGGCTAGTGACTCTTAACTTGTGTCTGTATAGTCACACTAATACGCTCTTCCTCTGAAACCTTAGCTGTGACTTAACTGTCTGTATAGTCACATAATATCTGTGCAAGTTAGCACATTGCATATACTAAGAAATTAGTTCTGAAAATATTTTATGTGCTCAGTGGGGACCAAATTAAGGTGAACTATAAATCTGAATTTCCTGACTATTTTTTTTGTCGAAAGTCTTGATTATAATACTGTGTGGAGGAACACATTGTTCCCTCTTGTGGGAGAGGATCCAGGAGGAAGAAAATCCAGCAGAAGAATTCTTTTTTGGAGAAACTTAGAGATAATGAGTTGTTGAATCTTCTGCCAAATCTTGGTATTTGTTATCAATTCACTCCATTTAATACCTAGTATTTTCCTAAGGCATTCGCTGTTATAGGCATTTATACAGCTGTCTATACCTCCAGTGCAGTGGTCCACAAACTGTAGGGCATGACCACTAGGTGGGCACAGAGGAACATTCAGGGGTGTGTGGCAGGGCCTGGGCCAGCCCCCCTGTGGGATGAGGAGGGAGCGCCTCCAACCCTACTCAGCCCCCCGTCTCAGCTCCTGGCCGTGCCTCAACCCCCAGCTGCAGGTTCTCTCTGAGCCATGGCCCCACTCCCATCCCCAGCCTTGGCCCCCTTACTCCTGTCTGTGGCTTAAGCCTCTTTCTCTCCCCCCATCACAGCCTTGCTCCCAGCTATGGGTGTGGACCAGGAGTGGGGGGGGGGGGGGTGTCACAACGTGAAAAGTTTGGTAACCATTGCTCTAGTGGATTTTCAGTTTTCACATCCATATGTTGAGGTAGAAATAACAACTGAAATGAAGATTCATAATTTGGTTTTTAAATTGTAGTTGTAGATGTTATATTAGATTAAAACTTCCAGCGTTTCAGACATGTGGTTTAAAACTCTCAAGAAATGTAGGAGTTAGTGAAAATAGTTATACTTCATATGTAAATTTTTTACACTTTAAACCTTTACTCTTAAGTCTTCAGAGCTTACATGTTTTTTAATTGTTTTTCTCTTTAGAAAATAAATGAATGCTAATGGGACAGCCATTTCCCTGAGGTTCAGGTTTTCTGGCTGGCTGCCATGATGGGTAAGTTACCTATAAGTGGAATCCAATTAAACTGTTACCTTGGCTTAATTCCTTGTGAAAAGAACAAGACCACTTACGTAATTAACATTTTTTATGCTGGAAATGCATGTCATGGCTTTGATAGTGAAATTTGAATTGAGGCTTGCACTTAAAGCAGACATTCAACCAGTTTGAATATGAAAAATATTGCAAATTGTTGACAAAATTACAGCACTTACTCTGTGGATATAGAATAAATTTAAAAGAAATTGAAAAAAGTTAAAGTATGGAAATGTGCTGTTAGGATACACAACACTCACTCTTTAATGACACCATGGGGGGGGGCAAAATCTTTCTTTAAAAATGATTTTAATCTAATCTGAGACTACAAACACTCAAATGCCTTAATCATAAGCACATTTGATGCCTAGTTTCACTACAAGGTGGCGTAAAGGCTGTCTAGATGTCCTAACTATGCATTTCTGTACCTCAAAATGTTTGGATTTTTTGTTACATTTAACCTGAATTTTTGGGGTTTATGATGAATGATTAGTTTTTGGAATGATTACACCATCCCAATTTTAACCTAAAATACTGATATATACTCTCAACCGTAACTCTATTTTAGTGTATTCTTTGTCTGGGAATTATGATATAACTGATTTTTGTGTAAGTGTTGGTCCTAATCTGATACTTTAAAAAAAAAAAAAAAAAAACAATGAGCCAGGATTGTTTAAGAATATAGTGCTTTTCATGCTGCTAATGTTTCTGCACACGCTGAAATTTGTAAGAACAGGGATTTTGTCAAATTATAACATGCATTAGATGTTAAATTGCATTTAGTGTCCTCAAGCTAAAACTTAATTTCTTATTTTTATCAAATACAGTGGTCTAACATGCTTCTTCATTATAAGTAGGGCCCCTACCAAATTCAAAGTCCATTTTGATCAATTTCATAGCCAGAGGGTTTTTAAATTGGTCAATTTCATGTTTTCAGATATTTACATCTGGAAATTTCATGGTATTGTAACCATGAGGTTCCTGATCCAAAAGAGGGTTGTGGGAGGTTGCAAAACTGATATAAGTTGGTTGCGGGATTGCCACCCTCACTTCTGCATTGACTTAAGAACTGGGCTTTGCAGGCAGCAGCCACAGAGCTTCCTGCAGCCGGGGGAGATTCCTGGAGGTGGGTCTGATCTCCCCTGTGCTTCTGGGAGTGCCCCCACCATTCACCTTGCTCCAGCTGCTAGTCTTCTGGGTTGGCAAGGGATGGGATTACTTCTTCCTCTGCACGGCCGCTCTCAAGGGGAGATCATACCCATGGAGCACTGAAAATCCATGGGTATCCGCTTTATAGCTGCGGGTATCCACAGATGTGGATATCCCTGGACCATTTTTGCAGATAGCAGCATACATGCAGATACAAATTATGTATCCGTGCAGTGCTCTGATGGTAAGAGCTGGGTGGGCAGCTGTGAGGAACCACAATGCAGACCCTCCACCTGCCCTTGGTGGGGGGCTTGAGGGGCACGGACACAGACACAGACAGGGGGCTGCTTGGGCCCCCTGTCCAGGGCAGGTGGAGGGTCCGCCGTGGCTTCCCACAGCTGCCTGCCTGGCTCTTACCATGGCCGGGCTGCAGCTCCAAGCTACCTCCCTCTCCCCTGCATAGCCGGGTCAGGGAGAGATGTGCTATGGGGAGCCTGTGTCCCTCCACCTGCCCTGGGTGGGGGGCCCGAGCAGCCCCAGGCCTGTGTCCCTGCCCTCCAGGCCTCTGACCCAGGGCAGGTGGAGACACTTAGGTTCCCCATAGCTGCCAGTTCAGCTCTCCCCAACGTGGCTCCAGGTGGGGGAGGGGGGTGGCGGCTCGGAGCCACAGCCTGGCCACGGCAAGAGACAGCTGTTGGGGGCCACGGCGGACCTTCCACCTGTCCCAGGCAGTCCTCTCCTCATGCCTGGTGTGCGCTACTCTCTCAGTAGCTGGTAGGAGAACCCGGACGCACTCTCTCCACTGTTTTCCAGTCCAGGGACCCTCAACCCAGCAGCTCTGGGCTTTTACTCTCCCAGCCCTTACTGCTCCTTCCCTGGACTGCTTCCTGCTCTTCCCCCTTATGTCAGGGAGTACAACTGCAGGTTTCCTCTCCTGCAACCTACAAACTTCCTCTCTCTATAGACCTGCTGAGCTCCTCCCCCGACCTGGACTTCATCTGCAATTAGGCCCTAGCAGTCCCTATGTTTCCTCCAGGTGCAACCTAAGGTTAATTGGTCTAATTTCAGGCTTCGTGGGGGGGGGACCTCATCACACTTGGTATTCTTCTTTGAGTAGTGCTCCACTTCAGGATTGTGTGTCCATCTGACTTTGTGCCCATCCATGTGCTTTTGATGGGAGATTTTTGGGAACAGTGCCTGTTCGGCCCATGCATGCAACCGTCTCATCCTTTTGTCCCATACCAAGGTCATATAGGGCTGCCCAGGCAAACTGCCCTCAGTTCCTTCTCAACCACCTTCAGCTTGAGGCAGAACATCAACCATGCCCACTTTACTCAGACTTAATTTCTAGTATAGTTTTAGTTTAATAGTTTCTTTCCCCTTTTGTTCAATTTCCCCGATTGAGGGTTGATTCTGAACTTCTGCTTTGGGGTATGGCAGGATCCCCAGGGTTTAAGCAGAGTGTCTCCTGCCAGCAAGCTATCCCAAATCAATGACCGCCATTCTTGGTTCCTCTGCTATTTGGGAGACACCCATCTGCCCCAAGAAGTGTAAAATATGCTGCTCCTTCAAAACCAGATCTTGGGAAAACAGGAAGATCAAATTATTGATAAGGGAGTAAGCCCTAAGACTAGCTTCTGACCCAGGCTCTGAGAACCCTTCTGCACACAGGCCTCTGAGTACTCTTTATGCCTCGTAGAATTCAGGATCCCTGTCACCAGGAGTCTCGAAGGATCCAAGTGTTGCTACCCTGTCTGCCTCCGAGTCTTGGTGACCAGCTCAGGAGAGGCAGCACTTGTACTGATGTCTGCAGTAAAAAGAGCTTCATTTCTAAATCTCAGGGTACCAACAAGGAAAGTAGGAATACTAGATGTCTTAAGAAATCTTGGTCATCGCCTGATAAGTAAAGAAAAAAAACTGTCAGACACAGATGAACACAGTTTGTTGGGGAATAGTCAACATGCTTTTTGTAATGGGAAATCATGCCTCACCAGTCTACTAGAATTCTTTGAGGGGGTCAACAAGCATGTGAACAAAGGGATCCAGTGGGTATAGTGTACTTAGATTTTCAGAAAGTCTTTGGCAAGGTCCCTCGCCGAAGGCTCTTAAGCAAAGTAAGCTGTCATGGGATAAAGAGGGAAGGTCCTGTCATGGATTGGTAACTGGTTAAAAGAAAATAAAGGGTAGGAATAAATGGTCAGTTTTCAGAATGGAGAGAAGTAAATAGTGGTGTCCCCCTGGGGTCTGTTCTAGGCGCAGTCCTTTTCAACATATTCATGAATGATCTCGAAAAAGGGGGAAACAGGGAGGTGGCAAAATTTGCAGATGATACAAAACTACTCAAGATAGTTAAGTCCTAAGCAGACTGTGAAGAGCTACAAAAGGATCTCTCAAAACTGGGTGATTGAATTTCATCTGCCGTATTGTTGCCCAATGTTGATAAATGCAAAGTAATGCACATTGGAAAACATAATCCCAACTATACATATAAAATGGTGGGGTCTAAATTGGCTGTTACCACTGAAGGAGATCTGGGAGTCATTGTGGATAGTTCTCTGAAAACATCCACTCAATGTGCAGCGGCAGTCAAAAAAACTAACAGAATGTTGGGCATCATTAAGAAAGGGATAGATAATAAGACCGCAAATATCATATTGCCTCTATATAATTCCATGGTACTCCCACATCTTGAATACTCCATGCAGATGGGATCGCCAAATCTCAAAAAAGATACATCGGAATTGGAAAAGGTTCAGAAAAGGGCAACAGAAAATTATTAGGGGTATGGAACAGCTGCCATCTGAGAAAAGATGAATAAGACTGGGACTTTTCAGCTTTGAAAAGAGACGACTAAGAGTGGATAAGATAGAGGTTTATAAAATCATGACTGGTGTGGAGAAAGTAAATAAGGAAGTGTTATTTACTCCTTCTCATAACACAAGACCTAGGGGCCACCAAATGAAATTAATAGGCAGCAGGTTTAAAACAAACAAAAGGAAGTATTTTTTCCACACAATGCACAGTCAACCTGTGGAACTCCTTGCCAGAGGATGTTGTGAAGGCCAAGACTATAACAGGGTTCAAAAAACAACTAGATACATTCATGGAGGATAGGTCCATCAATGCCAGAAGTTGAGAATGAGTGACAGGGGATGGATCACTTGATGATTACCTGTTCTGTTCATTCCCTCTGGGGCAGCTGGCATTGGCCACTGTCGGAAGACAGGATACTGGGCTAGATGGTCTGACCCAGTATGGCCGTTCTTATGTTCTTAAGAAGGCTCCAGAGACCTCAGTTCCACTGGAGCTCCCAGTCACTCCAGTACCCTGAGAACATCTAAAATGTCCCTTAAGAGCCATACTATGAAATGGGACTCTGTACTGAGGACTTCAACTGCAGATGGCCATATCCAGTTTAGAAATTTTATGTCAGAGAGGTCTACACCATTGTACCCTTCCATATCCCTGGTGTGATGGGTTCCCCCGGGGGTGCCACCTAGAACTGGGGTACCGCTGAGCCCACCCTGACCCACCAGACTGGGCTCCCTTTACACTGTACTGCTGTGACAAGCTGCAAAACCCCCTCTAGCCTGCACTTTCACCAGCATACATACAGGTAGGGACACACTAAGCTGTGGTTACATGCAGTTAGGTTCTCTGACCAGCCCCTGCATGGAAAGGCTCCAGCTCGGGTACCTCCCAGCTCCTTAAGCACGTAACCCCTCCCCCAGAATATAAACCCAAAGTTATACCATCTTGTGCTGCACAGAGGACTACAGCCTAAGCTCATAAAATTCACCCCCTCCCTCAGTGTGGAGAGGAATATGCAACAGCCTTCTTCCCCCCGAGTTAGGATTCCCATACACTAGTTTCGATAATGCAAAAACAAAATTTATTAACTACAAAAGATAGATTTTAAGTGATTATAAAGCAAGCAGATCAAAGCAGATTACCTAGCAAATAAACAAAAAATGCAATCTAAGCTTAATATACCAAATAGGTTGGATATGAATAGCAGATTCTCACCCTAAGTGAGGATATAAGCAGGCTGCAGATTCTTAAGGGGCAAGCTGCACTTGCTTCCAATTTGGAACCCCCAGGTGTTCCATTCACAGGCTAAAAATCCCTTTAGCCTGGGTCCAGCACTTCCTCCAGTTCAGTCTTCATTCCTCAGGTGTTTCCAGGAGTCTTCTTGGGTGGGGAGTGAAGAATCCAGATGATGTCATTCCCCTGCCTTATATAGCTTTTGCATATGGTTGGAACCCTTTGTTTCAAAGGTTGCTTCCCATGCCAGTCAGTGGAAAAATACTGACATTCCAAGATGGAATCCAGCACCAGGTTACCTGGTCATGTTTCCCTATAGAGTCACAGCAGCCATCTCCCACAGGCTGTTGAGAGCCTTCACAGGAAGGCGCACCAGATGGGAGATAAGCTTCTCCTAAGGCCTATTGTTTCTTCCTAATGGCTCATTTAACCTGAATGGGCCCTTCCCAGCCAGCCATCTAGACTGAGAGCATTTTGCCTAGTGGGGGATGCCCAGGAATAGCTATGTGTGAAATAGATATAGTCAATATTCGTAACTTTGGATACAAAAATAATACATATTCAGCAAACCATAGCCTTTCCAATGACACCTCACATGCCTTATATTGCATAAAATACATCATAATCATGATATAATTATATCATACTAATATCACTATGAAGAATATGGGGTGCAGTGTCACACCTGGTCCTTATACCATCATCTCATACCTCTGTATCATACTATCGGAGTCTGTCCCTCATATCAAGTGTTTGACATCCATAGCATTCATACACTCAACACAAGTACCTACCTTGGTACCAAAGCCGTTCTCCACCAGACCTCATTTAACTCCTTCCTACATACCACCAGTACCACAGGAGTTTAGACACTTAAAAACCTGCTTGTCTACAGTGAGCTAGAATCCTTGTTACTTACTGGTACCGGACAGCTGTCTGCAGAGAGATGCTCTTGGTCGCTCACTCCACATTTTTTCATTGGGACCACCTTGTTTGCAGACTTGAACCATCCAAAGTGAACAGTTATCACCAACTCTGGATTATGTTGAGGATGACTCTTCCGACTCTCAGATTTCAGTACAGCATTCTCCTGTTTATCCTCCAAGACATCATTTTTCTACCTTGACCCCTGTGCACCTGATATCAATGGTGGATGCCTCCTCCTATGCTCTCTGGGCTCCTAGAGTAACCTTGTTGGGACCCCGGGTCCTTTATCACCAATAGTTCATTAGGGCCCTGAATCGCTGTCATAGGGCACATATGCAGAGAGAGTCTCCCCAACCTCTACTTCCACGGTCTCAACCAGAACCACTGGAGGAGACCTTCAAGGAGCAGGAAGCAAGGGCTGACCAGGAGGTGACACCTCACACAATTGTATTGTCGTCATTGCCTGGCGAAGCTGCACTGCCTCCACCACCTTCTATGGCAGATGACTTCAGGTAGTTCAGCAACTGATGAGGCACATCGATGACATGCTTCAAATCCTTTGATCCAGGTCCAGGATTCTCATCATAAACTCCACCATAAATCATAGTAAAGAGCAAGTGTGCATCAGTTGGCTTGCTTGAGAGTATTGCAGTAAGAAGCAGATCTGCTTTTAATTTTTCCCTTGGTAGGAAAATTTTAGAGGCTTTATACCATTATTATGAATGCAGATTTTCACTATTGGTTAGTTCCAAGTAAAAGTTTTGACCTGCCTATTTTGACAGGTTTCAGAGTAGCAGCCGTGTTAGTCTGTATCCTCAAAAAGAAAAGGAGGACTTGTGGCACCTTAGAGACTAACAAATTTATTTGAGCATAAGCTTTTGTGAGCTACAGCTCTGTAGCTCACGAATAAAGACTGTAAACTAGATTTAAATTATTTGAATGTATCGAATCATCAACCTTCATCCCACACAAACTCTTGGGTAGCTCATTACTGCTATTGGCTAACAATAACTACATTTTTAACATCTTCAGTTGTGTGCAGACATTTACAATTGTGGTGTTACTGCAATCATATGGTACTGTTACAATATTTTATGACAATTCTTGCGGTACTAAAGACAGGAAATGGTATTTTTGAACTTGCCAGTGTTTTTATCTTTAAATAAATGAATTTACTGTAACTTGACTTTTATTTTTGAGTTCAGTTTGATCAATGAGCAATAATAGATGATTCATATTTATTATTTAGAGCTCTGTGAATCTCAAAAATGCGTCCCTTCCACGAACAGAAATTGATCCAATAAAAGATATTACGTTACCTACCTGGTCTAACTAATTTTTAGGCATTCATGGCCAAAGGTCTTTGGATAATTTAAAAAAATTAAAATCTGGATTATATTTACTATTTACATTAAACAGTTGTTTATACATTATACAAGTTTGTATTTTATTCTTTTCAACCACTTTTTAGTGTTCAGCATAAACCACAGCTTAAAAGGACCGTGACAGTGAAATATTAAGTTGCTGTAAATCCCAGTACAAGTTATTTTAAAGAAGAGAGAAGTTAGCTAGATGAACATGGAATCGCTGTTATCCCCAGCTCTTCCTTTCCTTGTGTAAGGTGGTGATGGCATAAATGAACAGTATCAGTTGCAAATACTGTAGTTGAGGAGTCACCATTCATATTTGTCAGTGACATCTGACTTAGCCCTGACACCTCTTCAAGTGAGAGCACATTATTCTTGCTTGCTTCCTACTTCTGCAAAATTAACATTATAACAAAATTGCATTTCACAAGAATGCTTGTCAAGGATCATAAAATTGAATCTTTGAACCTGGCATTCATTTATGCATAGGACCAATGCAGCCATTAATATTTAACTTTGATAACCTAATAGAGTTCTTCCACAGGGTTGACTGCAATGATTGGCATTCTATTAAAACATTAGAGACTCTGGTGTTTCACCTTTTGAAGGACTGATGGGGTCATTCATATAGTTGTTTGACTTTGTATTGGCCTCAAAGGAGGGTTATGCACATTTAAAATGTGAGTTTCCAAGAGGAACTAAGTTTTAATATATGTAACTGTTCTCTCCTTTCTACCAATCTCCCAGGCTTTCCCTGCTGTGCAAACAGCTTTAGTTGTATGAAATATAAAGTCATGTGCATGCTTAATCCATTTAAGCAGTTCTCTAGATTCTAGTGGGAGCTCTTCACCACCTGTCTACATGAACTTTGCAGCAGAATTTGTCCTGAAGCTAGCTAAAAACTACATTGAGAGCAATCAGCAAGTAGCAAAAGTCTCTTCTAATTAGAGTTCCAATGTGTTGCTTTTTCGGTGTGCCTGAGTTCTACTGGTTTAGGTTGGGGAAGAATGATACCCACAGTAAATTGTTAACTTTGGTCTTTCTGTGCCACAAACAAGTACTGCCATAATAGTGCATCTTTACAAATTGAAGATCTAATTTTTTTCTCTCACATTTTCCTAAGCGTTTTACACGAAACAGCCTTTGAAACCCTTTTTCCTAGTTATAGTCTGCAGTTGTATCGAGGTGAATTGAATTGTCAGTCCTAATTTGTTGGGAAGCTGCTTTTACTTTTTTTCAAAAATTTAAATTTAAGTACTTAACAATAAAAGTTGTTTAGTTCCTTAAGTCCTGCTTATGATGTTACTTCCTAGAAACAAATTAAATGAATGTTTGTAATTGCAACATGCTAGCTACAGGATCTTTTTTTTTTTTTTAAGCTAATTGTGATGAATGTGTGTGCCCTTTCTTAAGTTTTTAGGAAACATGTTTATTTTCCTAGTTAATTTTTAAATGCTGCTTTCAAGTGAAACAATTTGAACTTCTAAGTGTCCTATTGTTGGTGTTTGTTTTTTGTTTTTTTAAACAGATGATCAGTCTTTCAATTCTATCGAGCAGCAAGCTTTGAATTCAATCATGCAGGATTTGGCTGTCCTTCATAAGGCTAGTCGTCCTGCATTGCCAGTACAAGAAACAGGAAAACCAAAATCATCTTCACCCAAAAAACAGGTAATTTTCTGCATTCTTGTCTAACACAATGAACAATGTATATCCTACTGTGACTTCTATAATTTTCCAATTGCAAGACCAAAGTCAGTGTTAAATGAGCTATTCTAATCCCTTGTGGATGCTGCATATTTTTGAAATTAGTTACAAAAATGAAGAGTAATGTTTCAGGACACATTCTAAACACATGCACACTAAATGTATCTGGTGAAGGTAAAGCATCCCCTTCCTACTCCCTAATTGAATATTTAAAGACAGAGAATTACACTAATTGTCAAGATCACACTTTGGTTTGGATCACAGTCTTTTTTGCTGACTTATTTTAGGATTTTTATTTTAAAAGCAAGATTTGCTGCCGTCCCTTCTTTGAATTGTTTCTTTAGACTGAATTTAGTCATATACAACTGAATTGGACTATCCAGGTATTGAAACTGTCATATTAAAGGTGGTTTGCAGTGGGGGGAAATACATAGAGAAAGTATGAAAGATTTTTTTTTATTTGTTTGACATTAGAAATACTAGTTCTTGTGAACTGTGTTTTTCCCAGAGACTATGGGCAGCTAGAGAACTAGTGGAGATTGTGGTATTGCAAAAGAGAATTGATAAAACTGAACAATTGGGTGGGGGGAGGAGTTTTTAGTCAGAATGTTCAAATTTTATATTTATTTTGAGAAATAATATTTAGGGCTTCTGTGAGCTTCATAAAGAAGCAAAAAGCCACAGTTTTTCGCCTTTGTACAGTAGGTCACATTCTGTTCATTCTGTATAAGGGCATGTGAATATCATTGCTCATGAGAATAATCCCATAAAATTAAATGGATGTTTGTTGGATTGGGGCCTGAATTGGTGGTCTATCAAGACATTTGAATTTTTACATGTATTTGTGTATTAATCTATTTTATCTTCAGTATTTGGGAGAAGGGGGGGGTCATTCCTTATTGGTGGTTTAAAAGCCATAGATATTCCGCTTGTAACAAACAAGGAATTGTGATTGGAATTCTCCGTTTGAGCATAAATTTGATGAGGTTGGTATTACTGAAACCTGATGGGTTGATTCACACAATCAGAATGTTAAAATGGCAATACTGATTTAGGAAGGATTGAGCGGGGAGGAGGAGTGGCACTCTGTCATAAATCGCATAATCTGTTTCTGAGTCAGTGATAACTTGGAAGAAAATGATCTTGAATGTTTATGGATCAATATCCTAACAAATAAAGCACAAGATGGGGTACTAGTTATGTCTGCTATAGACCTCCCAATCATACTAGGGAACAGGATGACAACCTCCTTATGTACCTATTTACAATGTGTAGGGAAAAGAACTGTGAGATCATGGAGAACTTCAGTTTGAGTGATGTGCTGGAGTTCTCATGCTGCCAGTATTAAAACAGCCTTAGAATTCCTAGACATTATAGATGACAGTTTCCTAACTCAAAAAGTGTTGCAGCCAATATGTGGGTAATTCTTTCTTAGACCTTGACCTAACCGATGAAGAGGAACTGATTACAAAACTAAAAATTAATGGTAGCTTAGATACAAGCTTGTATCATAATATGCAAGCAGAATAAAGTCCAAACCAGTAATGTGTGTACTTGGTGCTTTAACAGGGCCAGTTTCACAAAGCTGAAAACAATTGTGAGCCAAATCAGATGAGAGGAAGATTTTAATCAGAAAAAATTGAATGATAATTGGAAATACTTTAACACCTTGCTAGCTGCCCAGAGAGTCATAATCAAGGAAGAAGGCTGTCTTGGTTAAAAAAAACTGACCTGGTTTAGAGGGGAAGTGAAGGCAGCTGTAAAGCATGTGTGTATATTAAGATAAAAAGCAAGTTTTAAAAAATATATTAGGAACAAAAAGTATCCTGACAGTAGTATTGCTCCATTACTGCATGGAAATGATAGAATTATCAATAAAAATGCAGAAAAAGTGGACGTGGTTCAATAAATATTTCTGTTCCGTATTTGGGGAAAAACAGATGATATGGTCTCATCATATGGTGATAACACTCTTTAACATCCTTCAGAGATATTAGTGGAATGGAACATTTTTAAATCAGCATGCCCAAATAACTGCCCATCCAAGAATTTTAAAAGAGCTTGCTGAGGAGCTGACTGGACCATTAATGCTGAAATGCTGGAGCACTGGGGAAATTCCGGAAGACTGGAAGAAAGCTAATGTTGTGCCAATTTTTAAAAAGAATAAATGGGATGACTCAGGTAAATTGTAGGCTTGTCTGACTGACATTGATCCTTGGAAAGATAATGGAGTGGCTGATATGGGACTCAATTAATAAATAGTTAAAGGAGAATAATATAATTAATGCAAATCGCATGGGTTTAGGGAAAATAGATCCCATTAAACTAACTTGTAATCTCATTTAAAAAATCAATTATGGTTGATACAGGTCATAGTGTTGGTATAATATCCTTAGAGTTCTGTAAGGTGTTTGACTTGGTACCGCATGACATTTTGATTAAAAAACTAGAAAGATCTAAAAGAAAAATGGCACATGTTAAATGAATTAAAAAACTAGCTAACTGATGAGTCTGAAAAAATAACTGAAATGAGAATCATTGAACTGGTGTGTTTTTCGTCGGGTCCCGCAGGGTTCTGTTCAGTTATTTTAATATTTTTATGAATTATCTGGAAGACAACCTAAAAATCATTGCTGATAAAGTTTACAGATGACACAAAAGTTGGGGAGCAGTAAATAATGAAGAGCAAAGGTCACTGATTCAGCGCGATCTGGATCGTTTGGTAAAGTGGGCACAAGCAAACTACATGCATTTTAATACAGCTAAATGTAAATCAGGGGTCGGAAATCTTTGGCACGTGGCCCATCAGAGTAATCCACTGGGGGGCTGTGAGACATTTTGTTTACGTTGGCAGGTATGACCCCCTGCAGCTCCCAGTGGCCGCGGTTCGCCGTTCCTGGCCAATGTGTGTTTTTTCTCTCACAAATGTTTAGTTTACTTCAAAACCATCCTTTTGATCCTCATGGATTTCTGGACTTATCATATCTGATACCTTACCAGAAGAAATCGTCTTCCACTTGTCTGTGTTAGTTTCTGCCAAAATGTTCAGTAAGGCAGAAAAGAATATAAATAAACCTTATGGCCCCTCTAAAGATTAAACAAAATGTCTGAGAATGTTAAATGTATTTTTATGGTTTTCTGAGTAAGAATTTGTCACCAACTAATAATTTATAATGGTTTCTATTATGGCTTTTTAAAAAATGTATAATTTCTCTCTTTCATTACAGAATGATGTTAGAGTCAAATTCGAACACAGAGGTGAAAAAAGGTAAGGCAGGAAAAGAAACTCTTTAATGCATTTCTATTGCTAGTTTATGGGTTTTATTGCTGTTTCTCTGCTAGTGTCCCAAAGAAACCATTAAAAGTACTTGATAGAAATTGATGTACACACATGACTTAAGAGAAATAGAACAGTCAGCACAAATAAGCAGAAAATAGAAATGTATAATTTAAACAAAATTAATTAAAAGCTGTTAAATGTAGACCCCAAACTGTTCTTAAAACTAAAAAGGTATCTTATTAGCAAATGTCTTACCAAATCTTCATATGTTAGCTTTTAAAATAGAACTTTCTAGCATAGATTAATTACACAAACAAGGAGTGTACACCTCAAATATAAGTAGATTTGTATATGTGGTCAGGAATTGTTGAAGCAGTATGGTCATGGTACATGAAGTGAGAATGCAAAATCTAAACTGGATCACCAGAGCTATTTTGTTATCAGTACAAAGAATTTATAGTGATTACTGAGACTACCATATTTGCCTGCCATCCTAGTTGGGGTCTGATGCTGTGTGTTGTAGTCACTAGCAGCAATGATCTATAAAATGATCTATAAAAGTCTAGTTGAAATGTTAAGAAAAAAAATGTTGATCATGAGGTCAGAGGAATACCTGACCCAGAGCGGTTTTCCATTACCAGAAATGTGTAGACAAACTCTCAATGTAACTTCCAGAGAAATGAGTTGAGCAATTCATGCACTTGTGCAGAAGGGCAGACTAATCTGGAGACTTCTTCCAGCCCTAAGCTTTATTAAGTTGATATATTTGTAAGAGTGAAAAGTGGGATTTAGAAAACTTTTTTCATTGCATAGTTAGCTTTATACCCTTTCGATTAGTCAAGGAATTGTCAAATAGGATTTACTTAGATGTAAATTCCAAAGAATGGACCTGATTCTTCAAATGCTCTCTCATGAATAACTTTATTCACGAGTGAAGTTACTGGGACTTATTCTCATATGAATAAGTGGTTGCAGGATCAAGCCCTACATTAGTAAGAAAAGGAAACATTTTGATTTGATCTTTCTGTACTGACTGTGATTTTGTGGGAAAATCCTAACTGGCAATTCTTCTATAGGAAAGTCTTCTGAGATTTGTAACTGGGCTGTTCTGATTGGTTTCCAGATATTCAAAAAGATATTAAAAAGCTTAAAATGCATAATTAAAGCTAAGATGTATGACTCAATCTCCCCTTTGTGGAGGTCTCCCACTCTCCTCCTTCACTGCCATTCCTCCTTCATGCATCTCCTTTGCTTGGAACTCTGTTCCTGAACAGGTTTGCCATGCCTCATTTCTCTTCTCCAAGTACTTCCTGCCAATATGCTTCTTACTGTAAATCCCTAGACCTTCCTGTGAGTAGTGGTCACAAGTTAAACTATTGAAAATTAACTCAAAATAAAAAAACAACCTCAAAAATTCTGGTCATATTCATTGTGTAAATTGTAAACTCTTCAGTACTATGTAACCAGTAATAATGATGATAGAGAATCCTATTTTTAACAATAGCAAATGCAACAGTTCTCTTTTCCTTTTTAAAAAACCAGATTACACTGAAGCCTGTGCTACTGGTCACCAGTTGTTAGTGGCCTGTAAAATCTATCAATGCAAGTTCTTCCATGCTAATCAGAATGCAGTGTGGCCACCTTTTAAAATGGCTAGAAAAATAGAAGTACTCTTACTGGCCATTAAAAGACTTCACTGTCTGTGTCTAGAATTGTAATTGAAATGTATTAGCACATCATTTGTGGAAGAATGCTTTATGTAATGCAAAAGACATCCTTGTAGCTTCCTTTAAAATTAAGACTATTCAGGCCAGATAGAAGTGATTTGGAGCTAATGCCCAGGTGATACTGGAGAAGGAAGGTGGGTGAGGTAACATTCTTTTATTGGACCCACTTCTGTTGGTAAAAGCGTGCCTTTTTCACCAACAGCAGTGGGGACAATAAAAGATGTTACCTCACCCACCTTGTGCCTCTAGTATCCTGGGTCCAACATAGCTACAACTGCAAACAGGTGATACTGGACGAACCACGTCCAATATGCAGGTTGAGCTCTGTTCTGTGTAAGAACATGCAGTTCCAAAGATACCAGGATGGGGTGGCACAATGGACATAGGGTTATGCAATAAATAAATATTTTGAATGGTGCTTCTACATTGTTGTAAAATAGGAGGCAGAAAGGAGGAGTCAGAGCTATTCATAAGTTCCTAAGATAATATATATGGCATTCTAAACTGATAGCCAAAGTCTTCTAGTAAGCAAAGTTCCAGGCTTGCACAGTTAACTAAGGTGAGAAAGGAAAGAGACGATGACCTAGCTTCTCTCCTCCTTTTCCCGAGGAAACAACGTTCTTACTGGTATGTTGGTTAATGAAGACACAGATAAAAGGGACCATTAGCCATTGTTAATTTTCCAGCATAATATCCATAAAATTCAAGTGGAATTCCTCTTCAGGATTTGTGGTTCATATCTGCCTCGGTCACTTAGAATAGCGATGAAGCAAAAGTCTGTTATATGGCCTTCTGCTGAAATAATTTAATAGCTTCTTTTTGAGAGATATTTGTACGTAATGGAAGCTCTGAGAGTGACACACATTTAGGATCTTTTAGTTTTGGTGGCATTCAGCTAATAGGAAATCTTTAAGTTTATATCCCACATTTTAGAAATTTTTAAGGGAATTTTACTTAAAGAAACACTGTCAATGTTGTTAGTCTTAACAATTTAACTACATCATATCTTTCAAAAAGGGCGGTGGCTGGATGGTATTTTTAAACTCTCCTCGTGATTCTAGAAAATTTGTTAGCCAGTTAAAATGAAGGCGGTAATATTGATGTAATTCTAACTCTTCTGCTGGTCAGTCCATTACTAGCCTACATCCTGTTTTTCTTAGGGCAGGTCTACACTACAAATTCACATCGGCACAACTGCAGCACATCTGGTGAAGATGCTTAAAGCCAATGGGCGAGAACTCTCTCATTGGCTTAACTCCACCTCTGCAAGAAGTGGTAGCTATGTCAGTGGGAGAAGTTCTCCCACCGTCGTAGCTCTGTCTACGTGGGGGTGTGTGTGTGTGTGTTAAGGTCGGTATAACTACTTCGTTCGGGGTGTGGATTTTTCACACCCAAGTGGCGTAATTATACCGAAGTAAGTATGTTGAACAGATCAAGCCTCAGTGATAGCTGCCTCCCGTGTTCTACTTAGTTCTGTTAAACAGAAGTTATTGAAATTTACAAGAATCCTCCATTCTGGAATAGTTGGAGCAGGATTCTGGAATACTTAATGCTGTGAGTGCTCACCAGAATGGAGCAATATGCAAATTACTAAAGCACAGCTAGCAGGACCTAATTTTATGCCTAGTAAAATATGAAAAACTGTGAGCGTTCCTTTAATTTTTACTACAGAAGATGCTTTTTAAATTTATTCTGCATATTAATGTTCCAGAAAGGCAGGCAGCTAATATTTGGTAAACTGTTTTTTCTTTTTCCTGTTATAAGATTATTCATGGGTAATTCATTAATAAACAATGATCCTTTCAAATTAGTGAAAAATTTCTCCAAAAATTATTTTTTGTGTTACAGGATTCTACAATTTCCCAGGCCTGTCAAACTAGAAGATCTTGCATCTAAAGCTAAAGTTGCTTTTGGACAGCCTATGGACTTGCATTACAGCAATAATGAGGTAATATTCTGCCTTCCTAAATCCTCAGTTTCTAATGTATTAATGGTTTTGACAGCTGAACATTTCAAGACTGAAATCCAACGTATTTTCATAATGACTGAAGGCCACCTGATGGCCTCCTGCTTAAAAAGTTGCAGAATGGCCAAGGTTAGTCACTTCTGCCATGAGTTTGCAGGGTTCTCCAGTGCACCATTCCCTCAGGTGAATGGGATTTGTCTAAACAGGGATAAGGAAGAGGGCACAGCCCAAAATGTTGTAGGGAGGCAGCATGCCCTGATGGATGGGACACCAGACTGGGGATGGGGGTCGTGAATTTGATTTTTATTCCCAGCTTTGCCACTGACCTGCTGTGTGACTTTGGACAACTCATTTAATCTCTTCTTGTGCCTCCCTTCCTTTTTGTAAAATGTGGATGATATTTACCCTCACAGTAAAGTGCTTGGAGATTTAAAGATTAATATTATGTAAGTGTTAAATACTATTATTAGAATTGGGACATTTGAGTAAAGAGCCGGACCTTCTGTCCCATTTCTGGACTTAATTGTTTTCTTCCCCCTAGTTCTTCTGGGCAGCACAGCCAACTGAGGAGCCCCAGAAAAATGGGTGCCCCTGCCTCGTGACCCGCTCTGCCTACCCGCCTGGCTCTCCTGTTGGTAGGAGCATGAGGGAAGGGGGAGCAGCAGAGGGAGCTACTGCAGGCAGAAGGGGTGGGGAGGGCACCCACAAAAGGGTAATCTGCCTCTGGGCATGTGAATGAATTTTCTGCTCTTCTTGTCCCCTTTTTGAGTTAAAATGAGAAAGGAGAAGGTATAGTCAGAAGTGTGTTAGAAACAACCTGCCACTGTTAAGCTAATAAATATTAGAAACTACTGTTTACCTTGTCTTCCCTCTTTTCTCCCCTGACCATTTGTTTGGGGTTGTCCACTTGTTGTATTGTAATTAAGGTCTTTGAGGTAGGACTAGGTATTTCACTAGGAGGATGGTGAAGCACTGGAATGGGTTACCGAGGGAGGTGGTGGAATCTCCATCCGTAGAGGTTTTTAAGGCCCGGCTTGACAAAGCCCTGGCTGGAATGATTTAGTTGGGATTGGTCCTGCTTTGAGCAGTGGGTTGGACTAGGTGACCTCCTGAGGTCTTTTCCAACCCTAATCTTCTAGGATTGTATGATAGGACAGTCTTTACTGTACTTTATATCTCTACAGTGACCGTTATGGTGATGTCCCAATCCCTGATTATGGGTTTTAGGTACTAACATAATACAAATACTAATAGCTTAGTTTCTGGTTTTATTCTAAAATGTACACCACCCCGCACCTCCACACACACCCGTTTGATTGTGTTTTTCTTTGAGTAACATGGAGGTTAATTGATTGCTATAGAACCAAATTTGCAAAATGTTTCATTCCTCAAATTTCATTACAATAGTTACTTGTGGGCAGGGAAAATCCATTGATATAGACCAGTATTGTGCAGTTTCTTTTTATAAACAGGAGATATTTCAATTCTAATTTGATTAAAATCTGGTTATGGTTTAAAAAATGTTAATTATAATTTAAATGGATTTCAGTCGGCAATTTGTGACCCTGGCCTAGGCAAAGAATTAATTCAGTTCATGCCTTCCTAGTGAGGCCTGTATTTATCCCATGTAGGAATGTTTATGTCTAGCACCTTTCTTGAATAATGTAATTACTTAATAGATAAGTCATTGGGGAATGTGTACAAACAACTTTACTGTTTTTAAAAAATGTATTTTGAATGTATACTATGTGAGGTGACAAAATACTGTACATAATGATGTAGAAAAGAAATTATATATGAGCTCTGGGGGGGGAAGGTATAGTGATTTATTATGATACTTCTATGTAGGAGAATGAAGAAAATATACTATAAGATGCTACATGTATCTAAAGCTGCAGAAAATATTACATTGTATATTTTGAAATGGTTGTTACTTTGTTATGAATGCCTGCTTCATAATGCTTTGCAGACTAGAAGGCAAAGTTAAAGTTGTGATTCAAATTTAACATTATTTCCTAATTCTCTTCAGTGCCTGACTGAGGTGTCTCAATGCTGCATTATTATAGTAGTTTATATTAATTGGTTTTAAAAACATTTTTTGGGGGGTTCTTAGTCACACACAGTATCGGGTTTACACCAACACTACTCTTTTTGTCCCTTACTAAGACAACTTTTTTCCTCTCTCTCCCTGTAGCTGGTGATTCCATTAACCACACAGGATGATTTGGACAAAGCTGTTGAACTGCTAGATCGTAGTGTTCACATGAAGAGCCTCAAGATATTGCTTGTAATACATGGAAATTCACAGGTATGAATTAGTATATTTATTTATGTCTAGATTAAAGAGTTCAACGGGACATTGCCTACTTAAAAATTACACTTCTCTGTGAAATATTTATCTATTATTGTTACAAGTAACATATAAGAGATTAGAGAGTATGTTTTTTCTGTTTTTTGAGTTTGTTTACTTTATGCATGCAACATTTCATGTTTGGTCATTTTCACTGTGTTCCCCTGGAGAGTTAAATTATTTGAGTTACCCTCTTTGTGTGGGTTTTTCATACAGCAGCAAAAGATATTTTTTAAAATAGGAAAATGTGTAAAATCGCCAACATAGGCATGCAATTTCAGAGGCTAATGCATTTAACTTTTTTAAATTAATAATTTCAAATTTTCTTTAAATAAAAAAAGAGGTGTTCAAATGTATCTGTCACAACAAATGGTAACAGTGAAGATATAATAGGTTTTTGTCATGTCCCACAGTACCACTTTATGTGGACATTACTAGCACAATAAATACTTTGGTCATTTGAGTTATACCACATTATAAGTAATTATTATTATTTTGTATAGTGATTCTTTGAAGATGAAATCCAAACATCAGATTCTATGAGCTAAAAGAGAGTGTGTATTTTTCTTGACACAAACTGAAAATTGCAAGTTTGAAAAAAATTCTAATTATAACAAAAACATAACTTGCTATTTCAGTGTAATTTAAGACATGGTTGTAGAAATGTTTGAGTAAACAACTGAAATGATATGAAATACATGGACTTTGAAGAAAATTGGCTTCTTTTCCTTACGCAAAAAAAGATATCGCATGGAAACGTTTCTCGTAACATAAAGAGCTTTTGGAAATCTGTAGTGTGTTTTTCTTTATTTCTTCTCCTTTTGGGACTACAGAATTAAACATATTTGTTATTTTATATTTTTTTCATTTTTAGATTCCTGTCCTGAGTAACATGGAACCCTTGCCATCACTGGAAGATTTGGATAATACAGTATTTGGAGTGGCAGAGAGGAAAAACAGGCTGTCTGTAATAGGTAAAGCAATTAATATTCCTGTGACTTTAAGTGTATGAGCTTTCATTTTAAATTGTCTGCAGACTCATACTTTTGAGAGAGTATCTCCGTTAATCCTGATTGACTGGTTGATGTCATGTTTCTTTTACTGAGGTTTATTCATGCTGATGAGTTGGGTGATAATTTTTAGTTGTAAAAATCAAAGAAAAAATAAATAAAGGTAAATATTTTTTTAATTTGCCTAAATGTTAAGTGCAGAAAAGACTGACCAAAAAAAAGAATTGATCCATAGTTGAAAGAACCCTGTAATAGAATTAGATTTGGGATATTAACAAATGGGTTAATTCTTTGTTCCCCAATGTTAGCCTATAGATTTTCTTTTTTATTGTTCATTTGCAGACTCATCCCTTCTGTCCATTAAACTCAGTGTCAGTACTCTCTTTGACTTCATTACATGCAGGATTGAGCTTCTGAACAAAGCCATATTTATTTAAATGGCAATGCATTTTCCTGACTGCAAGATTCCATTCTTAAAAATGTTTGGTGATTTAGATTGTTCAGGCTGCTCTTAAAGTACCTCTAAGAGAAACAGCTGTGTTAGCATTGGACTAATTAACCTTTTCTCCTATGCACAGTTTGAAGTGTGAGGTTAACTTGTGAAATTTAATTATGTGGATTCCTTGGTTTCATGTCTTCTGTGACTAAAGAATTAATTGAACAAGTAACATTTGTTTGTCAGTTTAATTGTCAATTACGTTCTGATTTTGCACGTCATGTAAGCATATTTTTGCAGTGTATATATTGCACTGTTACAAACAAAAGAAAATAGCGTGGCACTGTAACTCATCTGTGTTAAGGAGATAGTTGGATGCTTAATTAAATGTTTGCTTACTTTATTTTGGGATTGGATATTCAGACATCTTTTCTTTAAAATTTTAAATATGACCATATTAAATATAGATGTTAATGTAATATAAGGACCTTTGTATTTAGGTAACGATTTGTCACACCTGGTTTGATACAGTTGAAATGTGCTTTTTATTTACAACACCCAGTAGTACCTGCTGCAAGGTTTAAAATAATGAGTCAGGCCACAAAAAATCATGAGTTTTTTTAAAATAAATAATACATTTTGGATTTGTTTGAGTAGCAGCCGTGTTAGTCCGTATTCACAAAAAGAAAAGGAGGACTTGTGGCACCTTAGAGACTAACAAATTTATGTGAGCATAAGCTTTCGTGAAGCTCAAATAAATTTGTTAGTCTCGAAGGTGCCACAAGTACTCTTTTTTTTTTTTTTACATTTTGGATTATTTTTATTTGCCTTCTGGATTTTAAGTCTTTAGGGTTTGTGTTTTCAAGCTCTTCTCTGCACTGATGATGGTTATAAACATTTTTTGTTGTGTGTTTTAGTGAAAGCTGAAATTCTCACATCCTCATAAGACTCCAGGAGCTGGGGTTTTAAGTAAAAGTTCATGAGGTTGTCAATAAAAATCATGAGAATTGGCATCAGTAAATACTCCTCTCTTATGAAATCTAGATCCAGTCGTCTGGTGTGCTGGGAATTAATGAATTATATGCCTGTGCTGTACAGTGGAAAAGTACATTCAATCTGGTGCATTCTAAATGCAAGATTTAGAATGCACCAGATTAGCTTGCACATTGGCAGAGGCAAATTTTTATCCAGAGACGGATATGTAGATGGACACAATTCCCAGATTATAAATTTAGAATTATATTGTCTCTTCTAATGAAGTTAAGGGCACCAAAAACGCCAGGAGAAACACAGAATGTTGACTACAGGTCTAGGAATGTTTGTAAAGGAGAAAGTGATCACAGCTAGCTCTGGGCCCCATGAAGCTTATGACTGCCCTTAATTTTGGGTTATTGAGGATGTAAAGGAGAATTTCATATTTTAAAAGTAAGTTCTATCCTTAAAGCTAACACTGAAAACAAACAAATATATACTAATCTGTGGGGACAAAGGAAGATGTCTGAAGTGCACCTTAAGATTCATTCCTTTCACACACTTTCATATAATATGAGTCAATTAATTTGGGGGTTTATCCCAAAGAATCATTCTGGAACCCTCTCCAGCATACTAAGGGCATAGTGATGTGATGGTAGTGGATTGTTTGCAGTCACCTTTAAACCCTCTTTAGTAAACTGAACTGTTCTTGTTCTCTGCTATAAGAAACAACGGAAATTTTAATTTTAATCATGGTAAACTCAAGTACCCCAATACACTTTTCCAGTCCTTCAATATGTAGATTGACTTTCTTAAGCAATCCTACCTATGATGTGTAGTAGTTCTTAATTTGTCGTCTTCAGACCTGATCCTGGAAGCTGCTCCGCATGAGCAGAGTCCACATCCATTGAGCAGGATTTGGGCTTTATTTTGTCACTTAATACATTTTAAAGTATTAAATTTTAGGAGATGACATTAAAGTTTTAGTTGATGGTGCCTAATGGGAGGAGGGAGGGGGGAGGAGCGGTTGTTTTTTGAATCCTTGGCCATTGGAAAATCAGCACCTTGCAGTATCAGGCTCCATGAGAGCAACAGTCAGCTTTTAAAAACTGTGAAATAAATCATGGTAGATGTAGAAGCAAACTTTGTGCTTTACAAAAAGAAAAAATACCATAGTAAGCTTTTTTGCAGGAGAGGATTGTTTTTAATCTCCAGTCCAAGAAAACTGTTCTCCAATATTGCCTTTTTTTTATTAAAAGGATCTAATACACGTGATAGGAGTTCACCTCCCCCGGGATACATTCCAGATGAGCTGCACCAGGTCGTACGAAATGGATCATTCACTAGTATCAATAGTGAAGGAGAGTTCATTCCAGAAAGCATGGATCAAGTAAATATTTTTTTTTTTCCATTTCCACTTGATTAAATGTCACTGTGGGCATGGTGACTGACCTACCAATTACCACCTATCAGCTTTTCAGTTAATGTTTCTATAATGGTTTAAGTACTATAAACCTAGTAAGCATTACCACCTTCCTCTAGCAGGTGCACAGGGGCGTGTCATTCTGTTCCTCTGATCAGTCTGTTACTCAACTATTCCACCAGAATGAAGCTATTAGAATCTACCAGAATTCCTGCTCTCTCTGTCAATATCATATCCTATCTGGATACTGATGGAAAAGGTGGGTGGGGTCTGAATAGCTCAGAGGATTGAAAAGGGGATATGTAGTACTTTTCACATCTGGGCCATTATTATTTATCCTTATTACAGTGGTGTCTCATTGCCCCATTTGAGATCAGGACCCCCTACAGGAAGACTTTGTACTCACAAGTAGTAAGAGTCAGTACTTACAATGAAGCATTTACAATGAGATGAGATGAGAGAGAGTGGAAGAGAAAACAGAAGCATAGTGTGAAAGTGACTTGTCAGTTGCACAGCAAGTCAGTGTCTGAACTGGGAGTAGAACTTATATCTCCAGACCCTCAGTGCCAGGCCCTGTCCTCTGGACAACGCTGCCTACCCATCCTCTGATCAGATCCAGCCCATTTCTGTACATAATAATCATTACCATTGGCCTGCATAAAGTCAGTTGATGCCTCTCAGACATTTCAAGTACACAAATGCTCACAGGAAATTAGAGACCAAGGATTGCATGTATGAACACTCCAAAACGTAAAATATTTATAGCACATGCAACTGTAACAACCACCTGCATGAGTCATCAGTGTTTAAACCTAGGACCTTCAGCTCTATAGCATATGCCTCTACCATTTAATCTATAGGAATAACTCACTCAGCTGGTAGAAGTAGTAGACTGTTATCCTCTCTGGACCAGCCACTCAAAAGGGCATGTAACCTGGATTGTCACCGACACAGCAAAAGACACACCTCTGACCCCATAACCATCTCTTTTCCAAATTTCAAGTTCCTTCTCCTGGAGCCGTTTCTTTAAAAAACAAAATTTTTTGAAACATTGCCACAGCTAACTATCTTTAGTAGCTTAATTTTTTTGCTCATATTTTCCAAAAAATTTCAGCCTGAGATAGAGACCAAGCAATTTTGTTAATCTAATATAGGTGTTGGAAATACTTCCTCTCTTTGTGTGTGTACTACATACATTTCTTTTAACATAATTGCTATAATTTACTATTTCCTAAACACTGTAAATTAAATACAAACACTGTTTGTATTAGGTGGGAGAAGAGCACCAGAGTGCTTTTCAACAAGCAGGACTCCATACAATATGACTTCGGCCACATCAGTTATAACTGCTGATTTTTATGATCAGTATGTTAGGGTTTTGAGCTATAAAATGTGATGCAAAGAACCATCAACAATAAAAAAAAATTTCAGTCCCTCTCTTATGGTTACTTACTAGATGCTGGATCCATTGTCCTTGAGCAGTCCTGAAAACTCTGGCTCAGGAAGCTGCCCCTCACTTGACAGTCCTTTGGATGGGTAAGAACTACTTACATTCAGCACTTTTTTCTGCTAGATTGCTTGAAAGTACTGACCACAGAACATAGTAAGTCAACCTTCAGAAACAATTTCTAGGTGTACTTTTTTCAAACACACACAGAAAAGCAAAAACAATATAACTTATTGGGATTTAACTGCTTACTGATGCACAGAAGAGAAGAGTGCCATATCAGCCTGTTATTTTTGAAGATGCATGAAATTTAATACATCAGTTTCTGGACTTGCTGCTTTTTGTTGCACACAGAGATTTATTGTAAATCTGGACATCGTTGTCTTGTTTGTAAATTGAGTGTATTCCACAGCCATGAACAGCTCCATTAAACATCCACTTTAGAATTTGGCATAATCTGCAAGAAACTTCCATTCTACTAATAGGTTACCCAGCATTGTGCTTAATATTACTGCACAGATGATAAATCAGTGCAAACAGTCAAACATAAATGGAAAGGTGAGTGATAGTTGTGTATAGTCATTGCAGATAAAGATCCATTCAAAACATAAGATTATATTGTTGGCACATTTTACTGAACATTTCAGTTCCACCTACATGCCCAAATATTATAAATAAAACAAAATTTGAACATTTCCCAGATGAACTGACTGACTTCTTATTTGCTAAGTTGAATATTTTCTGTTCTGAAATAAATCATTGTACAGGAGAAACAAGCAGATACAGTCAACTTATCTTGGTTTGGTTTTAAATTTGCTTTCGGTTTTGTCATTTTGTGCCACTCTTGTCTAATATTTGGAGGTGTGGAGTTTAAATACTTAATTAAAATTATTAGTACACATTTATGAACCACAGATCCACCAACCTGAAATGGATGGTTGTTCCCATGTTGAACCAGTCAGACTGGCAGAACAGCCAGTCATAGTTGAGGTAAATTCCTTGTGCCTCCTTTCCTTATTTGATGAAGACATCATTGTGGAAGGACTTATCTTCCACGCATGCTGCAAAGTCCATTTTTTCCGGCATTTAAAATAATCGGGGAGCTGGAAACTGAAGGATGATCTGAGAGGGTCTCACCATATGGTTGTGGAGAGGGCATTTATTCTCTTTTGTGGGAAAGTAAAAATTAATCTATTTGAAATTGGAAGTTTGAATCAAAACTTTATAATGACAGGTTTCATGAAAAAAACCCTAAAATATACTTAAATTTTGGGTGATGGTTAAAGGTGTGGGTAGACATCATAACTCAAATAAATAAAATTCTTCAACCCAGCACATGGTGCAAAATTTCTGCATTGTCATCAGAAATGAAACATGTCCATGCTTTCCCTTTGTGTTGTCTTGTAATTTAATTTGCTGTAAAGTTTTGTGATCCTGCCAGTAATTAACTGTTGATGATTGAAGCGCTCATGGAGTTAAATATCCATTCAAAAGTCTTGCTCTCTTCCTGTTCCACTCTGACAAGAGCCAAAAGACTAACTTCCCATGTCCAAAGCACCGCAGGAACTTCTTCCTCTAATCTGTTCTCACTGTCAAAACATCAACAGCACTCCTTTCCTGTACTAGCAATGCAGGGCTAGAAGAGGGTAAAAAGTGTGGGGAGAGATTCACTCCCAGCTTGTTTTGTGCTTATGGAGCATGGGACAGAGAATGACAACAACAGGGGCTTCTGATCTATCTCCGCTTCTCAAATGTTTATACCGGTAGGGAAAAACTGCTGTGTCCAGGAACACATGCTAAGTGGACTCAGAACTAGACTGGAGTCCCATGAGTCAAAATAGTGGCACAGCAATGGGGTATGTGAGTCACTCTGAAATCTAGCTTGATATCAGTGGCATACTGAATATGGTTACCTTGGAGTTGAAGATCAGATACATCTTAGACTGCAAACTTTAAGTTTCAGAGGGGTAGCCCTGTTAGCCTGTATCAGCAAAAACAATGAGGAGTCCTTGTGGCACCTTAAAGACTAACAAATTTATTTGGGCATAAGCTTTCGTGGGCTATAACCTACTTCATTGGATGCATATGATGAAGTGGGTTATAGCCCATGTATACCCAAATAAATTGGTTAGTGTAAGGTGCCACAAGGACTCCACATTGTTTAAACTTTGAAGGCTATAACTACTTAGAGTTAAGGCATGTATCTCTTCATGTCCATTTTTTGGGAAAGACAATTAGCTTACAATTTCATGTCAAAGTATCACAAAAGGATCTTTGAAAACTTTTGAGATTTGAACTTTCCAGAAGCTTTCACTCAGACAAAGAAGTTTGTTTACATTTGCAGAAGATGATGCTGCCTGCTTTTTGTTTACAATATCACCTGAAAGTGAGAACAGGCATTTGCATGGCACTGTTGTAGGCAGTGTCACAAGATATTTACATGCCAGATGCGCTAAAGATTCATATGTCCATTCATGTTTCAACCACCATTCCAGAAGACATGCATCCATGCTAATGATGGGTTCTGCTCAATAATTATCCAAATCTGTGCGAACCGACACAGGTTCATTATCATCATCTGAGCCAGATGCCACTAGCAGAAGGTTGATTTTCTTTTTTGGTGGTTTGGGTTCTGTAGTTTCCGCATCAGAGTGTTTGTTCTTTTAAGACTTCTGAAAGCATGCTCCACCCCCTCATCCCTCTGATTTTGGAAGGCACTTCAGATTCTCGGATCGAGTGCTGTAGCTATCTTTAGAAATTTCATATTGGTATTTTTACATTTTGTCAGATTTGCAGTGAAAGTATTCTTAAAAACGAACATGTGCTGGGTCATCATCCGAGACTGCTATCACAAGAAATATATGGCAGAATGTGGGTAAACAGAGCAAGAGACATACAGTTCTCCCCCAGGGAGTTCAGTCACAAATTTAATTAACACATTATTTTTTTAACTAGCCTCATCAGCACAGAAGCATGTCCTCCGGAATGGTGGCTGAAGCATGAAGGGGCATACAAATGTTTAGCATATCTAGCATGTAAATACCATGCAGTGCCAGCTACAAAAGTACCATGTGAATGCCTGTTCTCACTTTCAGGTGATATTGTAAACAAGAAGTGGGCAGCATTATCTACTGTAAATTTAAACAAACTTTTCTCTTAACGATTGGCTGAATAAGAAGTAGGACTGAGTGGACTTGTAGGCGCTAAAATTTTACATTCTTTTGTTTGAGTGCAGTTATGTAACAAAACTACATTTGTAAGTTGCAGTTTCATGATAAAGAGGTTGCACTACAATACTGGTATGAGGTTAATTGAAAAATATTTTTTACAGTGCAACTATTTGTAATAAAAAATATAAAGTGAGCACTGTACACTTCATATTCTGTGTTGTAATAGAAAGATATTTGAAAATGTAGTAAAACACCCAAAATATTTAATAAATTTCAATTGGTATTCTGTTTAACAGTGTGATTTTTTTTGAGTTAATCACATGAGTTAACTGTGATTGATTAACAGCCTTCATTTTTTGCCTAATTTTTGATTTTTTCTAAGAAAACCAATTAACCTTGATTGGTAGACTGAAAGTATCCTATGAAAAAGTTTCTTGCATAGAAATTTTTTGACTTGCCTCAACCAATCCAGAGACTCTTGTCATCCTCATTTAGTTTGCCTCTTACTTTGTTCAAGGACTCCTAACAGGGGTTTAGGCTTGTCTCCATTTCTGCTTCTGTTGCCTACTAGAGAAATTCTTATCTGGAAAAGGAAGATGCTGGGGTGGTATGGTTATGAAAGTGCTCTACTGCAATTGGTTGTTCTGTCTGGCTGGGAGTTACATAAAGACAAATTTCTAGGTAAGAAATTTGACCACATGAAAAACCCCTTAATTCAATAAAATTGCTTTTTAAAGTTTTTTATGAAAACACTTGAGCTTCACAGAAGGAAAAAGGAAATCTGAGAGCTGCAAGACTCTGCATTTCTTTGGCAAAAAATATTTAAATAGGCTACAAAAATTCTTGCTAAATTAATATCCTGTAACTGATGTTTTGATTTTGTTTATCCATGAAGGTGCAAAGCACGAGCTCGTGTGTGGCTTCATTGGCACTGCTGTGTCTACTAAGAGTCTGTACTAATGAGCAGTGCCATTCGTTTCCTCCCTATCCCAAGCAAGATCCATCCATTGTAATTGATGTCTACAAGCTTTGGTATTTCAAAGTTGAGTCCCATTCATGTCTACGATAGCACACACTGTACTGTATAATTCAACAATTATAAAACAGTAAAACTTAAGTGCTTGCCTGACTACTCTGACTCTCCAGTAACAGAGCATCTAAAATGTTGTCTTACGCTTCTAGAGATAGCTACCCCAAATCTCGGATGCCACGAGCACAGAGCTATCCAGATAACCACCAGGAGTTTTCAGGTAGGTAAATCTATTGGGGCCATTTAGTCTTACCAGATACATCCAGCTGTAAGTAACATGTCTCAGGATGCATGTACATAGTATATGTGATGCTTCCTTGGGGTACCCAGGGTTTTGAGGCACCTCACTACCACCTTCCCTTAGTGTGAGGAAACCTTGTTTGTGTTTGCCATGGCTCAGCTCCCCAGCGCTACCAGCCATGGCCATACAAGCACTTGCCTCTAGACCTCACAGGCCCCGCTGTCCCTCTACAGGTCAGTAGTTGGCACACCTCAACCCTTCAGGCATCTCTACAGTACATCCTCTCATCCGCTGAACACTCTCCATATTCACAGATTTGCTGTTTCCAAAGACTCAAAACACCTCAGCTTACCAGTTTCACCTCAGATCAGTGCTGTGCTTAACACATAACACTTAGATTTGTTTATAGTGAAATCAGGTATAAGTTTATTTAACAAAGCATAGAGAATCAAGTAGTAGCAAGTAGAAGTATTGAAAACAAATTACAAATGAAATAAAATCATAACACATTGTAGAGCCTAAACTTAAGATACTCATGTCTTGTAGAGTATTGCTCACCCAGAATCTTTGCAGTGCTTTACAGCCTGGCTGGCTATGACCCTCTTTTCATGAGACAAGAATGCTGTCAGTTTGCTTCCTAGGTGAAGTATTCAGTGTGTCCCTTTGGACTTCCAAGATAGGCCAGACCAATCTTTTGTCTTTATTCATAAACAAGAATATCCCCCTTCAGTTTGTTCCTTCCTATAGATTTCTTCTCTTGTAGATTTTGCAAAGTATTATCCAATTAGTACAGACATTTTGCATTGATTATAATGACCAGTGGCTACTGGGTCTCAATAGAGACCTCACATACCACCCTTTGGTGAACTATTCTACAAATACCCAAGGGATCCCTGTGAAACCCTCTGCACTGTCTGCCAATTGGCACCAAGGGATTTTTGGGTCACAGGAGAAGATAATTTTGCCTCTCATCCAAAAGCAAGAGAGACACCTTTGTTTGGTGGCACAGGACTAGGAGTCAGACCAGGACCATAGTTCCGGTTTGCCAGTGAATAGTTGTGTAACCTTGGGTGATTTATTTAACCTGTCTGAGCCTTTATTTCACTATTTTTTCCACATGTCCCATGCCTCATTCAATGCACAGAATAGACAATGCTCAATTAATGGGCAGCTATTCAATATTTTGTTTGATCCTTTTTGTTCAGTATATGGTCCTAGATCTTACTTAGTGCACACTATTCAAACCCTTCTGTAAAAGCAGGATTATTAATTTTGTCAGAGGTTTTTCATTGGCACTCATCACGATAGTGTCCAAGTGCTTCACAAACATCTATTAATTAATCTTCACAAAACTGCTGTGAGGTGACAAGATATTATCCCCTTTTTACACATGGGGAGCTGAAGCACAGATTAGGATTAAAAGTATTCTCTAATTTTGGGTGCCTAATTTGAGGTGCCTGGACCTGATTTTTCAGAGTAACTAGTATTATGTAGTAGTTTTTATATTGAAGCACAACTCCAGTTGACTTCAGTTGCATTTGTGAGTGTTCGGAACTTCTGCAAATCAGACCCCAGAGTCTGAAGGCAGACACCAGGAAAATGACACAATCAGTGGCCACCTGTGAAAAGCTTGGTGTAAGTGACTTGGTTAGCATCAGACAGGAACTCTGTGGCAGAGACGATAGAATCAAATTTTCTGGGGCAGCGTTCAACTGGTTTAACCATGGGATCTTCCTTTCTCTTCCTGCTATTTCCTATCTCAGTCACTGCATACCTTCCAACTTCTACAACAAATGAGGCAGTAGTCCTACAGCCAACAGCCTGCTTCATTGCACATCCCTAATTTGTCCCCAGAGTAGGTCTATCAGGTGTAGTGAATGAGGCAAGTGTCCTATGGAAAAAATAGGATCTGATCATTAAAGACTGTCATAATGCATTCACATAAGGGGGGCTTAATTAAGGTTGCACAGGCAACCTGAATTCTGGCATTTCTTAACTTTTGTGTGCTTGACTCTACAATCTGAATTTTTAAAGATTTTTTTTTTAAAACTTATGAAATTACACTTACACACTCTAATTCCATCAGGTGGCATCATATTGAACCTTTAGATCACCACATCTCTGCCACTTGAGCTAACAGAGTAAATGATAGCTGTATTAGGTTATCATCCTCTATGTGGAGCAGCACTAATGGAAGATGACACATACTTTGGCAGTGGGGTTGACAAGTATTTGCTGACAGCAGAAACTGAGAGACTCAAGAATCTTGGGTTCCATTCCAGGCTCTAGAAGAGAATGTCCTCTTTTGGCCTACTTCAAAGCTTGACCTCTTCTACCCCATTCCTTCCAACCTGTCCCAGTGCTGACTCTTCCCCACTCCTGGCTTCTGATTCCAACCTCCTTGCTCAGTCAGCTCCAGTTCCTCCTTTCTTGTCCCAGCTCCTTGTCGTCAGTCTTATTGCCCAGACAGCCCTCATCATAGTCTTTCCCTGGTTCCTCATACAGTCTATATCTTTCTCCTGCCCCACCTCTGGCTCAGTCTCTCTCCCTGGGCTCCTCATCCAATTTCAGCCTCCCATCCCCACCCCCACCTCCTCCTTGGCTCCAGGTCCCAGTCTCCCCAGCTCCTCGTCTAATCTCAGTGTTCCCTACTCAGGTACCTGGCTACCAGCTCTTCCTTCTACCCCTCTCCCGTTTCCCTCACCAACTCTGTCCCAGCTCCCAATTCCCAGTCTATCCCCTCCCCAACTCCCAGTCACAGTTTCTCCACTGCCAATCCCTGTCTCACCAGGCCACTTGTTCCAGTCTGCTCCTGTCTCTCCCTCATGGTCCGGTTTTTGTCTCTTCTGCATTCGAATGAGACAGCTTACTCCTTCACACTGCCTGAGTGCCAGCAGGAGAGTTGAGAGCACAGGAGAGACCAGCTACTTGCTCTCTGTTTCCATACCCAGCCTTTGTAGCTCTGGGTTGGAGCATGCTCAGTCAATCTGTGAGGATGATACATGTTTAGTCTGGTCAGTGCTAGGAGCTGAGAGGCTGGAGCATGCTCAGTGAGGATGGAATCTTTGGAGATTTTAGCTAGCAAGTCTAAACTGAGTATGTGAAAACAATAATTTTTTTGTAAAGGTTTATAATTTAGCCAGATTTGAGTGGCCTTTTTACCAGATGGCAAAAAACACATCCTTGAAACAAAGGCCGCTCCTGCTCCTTGCCAAATTTCAGGAACCTGCTCCAAAGCATGCAGGTGTTCGAGCATTTCAAAGAAAGTCACCAGAATTTTTTAACATGGTCAAAATATATATATTTTCTGAGCCTCATTCTCAGAAACATCTAAACCCTTTTGGCAGAAATTTTCCAGACAAATTGAGCCTGAGGCAGACAACCAGCACAGAAAATGTCAGCCCAAATAGTTAAAGTTTGGCAATGTACAAAACTGAAAAACAGGGTCTTATAAGGAGAAGTGTTGGACAACCTTAATAGGTGGTGCAACCAGCCCTGCTTATGATAGGAATCATGCAGTGACCTATGGGGTAGTGGGTGGCAGACAACTGGATACACCAGTGAGGGAGGGGTTTAGCTACGGATGCTAGGACAAACCCTTCTTATGTGTTGAACGTTAAATGAATAGAATGCAGTGTTTCCATACACATGAAGTCTGTAGATGTCTTAGATATTTTTACAGAAAGTGCCATGAATCTTTTTTCCATTCAGCATAAACAGGAGATTGCTTTTAACATTTCAGGCAGAAAATTCCCACAAACAATGCTGCCGCTCCAGATAGTTTACTAACTAAGGTTTTTATAGAAAAAGCTTACTTGCCAATCGAAGGAAAAAAATCTACTAAGACATAATTTTCTGTTCTATTGGTATTGTAATCTTGTGCCTGCTTAGAAACAGATGGTAGCATGTTTGAGTGGATGTGATATCTAATTAAATTTATTTTTTTATTGTTTTGCTGTTTTATCATTTATAGGGACTAAAACATGATTAGTAGGCTGAATGTTAATTTGCTGATCTTTATATGCACAGCCTTCCAGTTTACAAGTCTCTTTATACAAGAGTCCACTTCAGGGTTAAGTGTAGGGTTGCTTTTTTAAAAACTTGTGATGCAAGACCAATTAAAATTTGGTTTGTTTTATTAATTTTTCCTCGTGTGTTTAATTTTGCAATGTATGATAATATTTTCTTTGTTCCCCATAGACTATGATATCCCAATATTTGAGAAATTTGGAAAAGGCGGGACTTATCCCCGAAGGTATCATATTTCATATCATCACCAAGATTACAATGATGGTGAGTATGGGACAGTAACATTTTCAATATTTATTCTTTTTTCAAAAAAAAAGTTGAAAGAGTTAACAAATATAATCTGAAAATGTTGGAGAAGCAAACAGGTGTTCTCTCTGAAATAAATGTAAAGCATGCTTAAAGTTAGTCACAAATCTGTGTTTAGGCATGTGACGGGGTTGGGGCTCACCACTGCAGCACTTCCCGCTGGCACATCTGGGAATTAGCTCTGTCCTCTGCAGGGCGCCCTGTGCCAGTGGTGTCCCGTTCATCATCTGCTCCCCTGTTCATATCCAGAGCCACGTTGCTCCCTGATGGGCGACGTCTGCTTCTGGTCACTGCCCTCAGACGGTGCCCCTTAGTCCATCCTTACCCCCTTCCGGGCCAGGGGGGTTTAACAGCAGTCTTCCAGCTCGCCTCTGCCACAGTGGCCAACCACAACCCCCAAAGTCTAGTCCCTCTGCTCAAGGGCCAGTTGCAGTCTGTCACGGCCACTCCTCCACAGCCAGGTGCAGTACAAGGGGCGGGGGGGAGAGACAGACACCCAGGCCCTCCTACTGCTCTGGGTCCCAACTCAGGGACCCTCTAGTGTCAGCCTCTCCATCCTCCTTCTCTCTGCTCATCTGTCCGTCTTCCCTGGGTCACTTCCCCTCTAGGCCCTTCTGGTCAGGGCCTGCAGTCTGACAGGTATTGGGCTGGAGCTCTCCTCTGGGCGCACCCCAAGCCTGCCCAGCACTGCGCTGTCCAAGGTGCTGGTCTCCTTAGCTCAGGAGACAGACCTTCCCCTCTGAAGGTCTGGGAGAAACTCCCTGCTCCTCTCCTGGGCAGCCTTTATATAGAGGAGTCTAGCCTGGCCCCGATTGGCTGCCCTCTGCTCTGCACTGATTGGCTCCCCCACAGTCCCTCTCTGTTTGGCTGCCGTTCCGCACAGCCGCTCTGGCCTGTTGTAGCCCAATCTTGCCTGGGGGTGGGGCACCACCCTACCACAAGGCACCTAAATTAAAGTAGCCTGATTTTTCAAAGATGCTGAGCTGCCCCAGCTCCTGTGAAGATGTAGATTACAGTATTAGGGAATCATGGGAGCAGCTGTACATGGAAACCATCTCTGCCAAAAGCCTATGCACAAACTATACAGAACATACAATGAATGCCATGAGTAATTGTGATACTTTACTACCCAGAATAGACTTCGCTGTTACTCAATCTGGAATAGCATAGAGTAGCTAAATTGTTGCTCCTGTTTACTGATTCTCATAATAAAAGAGGAGAAGGATAGGTCATGAAATTGAAAAGCAATAAATTTAAAACTCAAAAATACTTGTTAACTTAATTAACCTATGGAACTAATTGCTGGAAGGTATTGTATTTCAAAACAAGATTAGACATTTGGATAATGAGTTACATTAGATAGAGAAAAAAGAGGGGAGGGAATCCATGCTTCCATGCCTGTAGAAGTTTCTTCCTAGCTCCCATCAGTTAGTGGTTGACAGGAAGAAACTTCTACAGGCAGGTAATTCCCGTAGTGTCCATTATGGACTATCTTTCATCTTCATCTGAACTTAAACACCTTCTGTGTGAGGATTCCTCACTAGGTGGGCCATTAGAACTCTAGTGTATCTTTGGCCTGTTTTCCAGGAATAGATAATAGCCTCTCATAGCAGTGAAGATAGAAGTATTGTTGCCTTTGGAACTTGTCTCCATTTTCTTCAAACCACCAGTAGAAAGAGTCACTTAATTATGAAACTGTTTGCAGGAATTGCAGATGTTACTTATGCACTTCTCCCAGCTAGCCAGTCTTGGACTAAGTCATTAAGCTAGTTTAAGTCTGAGCTCTACATGTAGGCATTCTGCACACTTTCCCTCTCAGCAGGCTAAACCAGTAACTTTCATTATCATTTCATCATATTCTATGGAAGATTTGAATTGTTTTGTTTTCAGTGCACACTTAATGCAGTATACAGACACATATTGTTTAGTACTTATTCTTCATGGTACAGTATTCTAGGTAGTCTTTGTGCATCATTACAGGTCGTAAAACCTTTCCAAGGGCTAGAAGGACCCAGGGGAACAGCTTCCGGTCTCCAGTCAGTTTCAGCCCCACCGATCACTCCCTGAGTACAAGCAGTGGGAGCAGCACCTTTACTCCAGAGTATGAGGAGAACCGAATGAGAAGAAGGGGAAGTGACATAGACAATCCTACCCTGTCAGTAATGGACATCAGCCCACCTAGCCGCTGTAAGTTAAAAAGGCACATTACAGTCTTCAAAGGAAAATTTTAAAAAAATCTCGTTAAATATATAATACATCAGAACCGACAAAATTACTAAAATACATGTTATTAAAGGCATATCCATAGTATTATTACAGTATTACATTAGAATTATAACTTACATTATATTATAACTAATCACTAATTTTCTTAACATTTAATAATGTTAGTGTACATCTGGACCTGAAGTAGTAAGATGCTTACCAGTCAAATGATAACTTTATTTGCTCTTGCTGCTATGGGCTTAATTTTTTTGTTTTGATAAACAGGGGACTTAATTAGTATGGTGGTTGGGTGTGTGTGTTTATACTAGCTATGTATGCTTGTAGTTGCTGTAGATCATGTCTTGTTTTTAAAGGGTACTCTTAAAATACTTCGGTGATGAAATGTATTTTAGTCTCCTTTTCAGGTACTTTAGTAAGTACCTCAGATGTGCGTATCTTGTACTTATGTGTTTGGATGTATTTTTATGGATAAAATATAGATTATTAGGTAGCTGACAGGATCACATTTTCTATTTAGAGGAAATTTTATAAATCCGTGCTTTTTACATGGAAATTTAAAATTAAAAAAGTATTTTTTTCAAGAGTTTTATTTTTGTGTTCCAGTTTTTCTTGAACAACTGAATAACAAACTCATTCTAAAAACAAGACATACTTCTATTTTCAGCACCACGAGCGCCAACTAACTGGAGACTTGGCAAGCTGCTGGGTCAGGGTGCTTTTGGCAGAGTATATCTATGTTATGATGCTGACACCGGAAGAGAATTGGCTGTTAAACAGGTTCAATTTGACCCTGACAGTCCAGAGACAAGCAAGGTAAGAGACCCTGAAAGAAATATTTGTAAAGGGATCACTTTAAGAGTGGTTTTCTGTGTGGTCTAAACTGATGTTGCTTTTTGCTTTCACTTAATTTTATGAATGTTTGAGGACATATACTTCTATGAGTCTGTACGACAGAGAGACATCCCATTTCATTAAAATCTTCATAACTCAGTTGAATGATTATAGTGGTATGTAACACATGATTTCATCTTCAGATATATCTCTCTGAAACTAACATGTATTATCAAATTCAATACAGCCTGAGGCTATAAAGCTAAACCATAATCTAACATGGAAGGTACATTCTACAGAAATATTATTTTAAGTAGTAAAGTGAAAAATATAGGAACCTAGCGTACATTAGCTTTGTTTGATAATGAAACCAATAGAGAATGTTTTGATGAAGAACACTGTTTCATGGATATGACTGCAGTTATGTACAAATTGACATTATAGGTAAAGTCCAATGCCAATGAACCTACTGTAATTGGTCCCCTATATTGCTCTCCCAAGAGCATTGTTTTAGTGCTTTTGTTGACAGGTAGTATTTCCATACGTCTAATCTGAACTTGTCCTTCTTTAAATACAGTTACAGTCAGAAATGTAAAAACGGCACCATGTTACTGCCCAGATCTGCTCCTTGTTTGTATTCCAAGTTGTAGCTGCCAGTTTTACTGACAAAAATAAATTCTTCTTTTCATTCATTAGGATTCCATAGTCAGTACAGTTGTGGGGAGAGTAGAATTCCATTCCGGCTCATGCATCATCTGCAGAATTAACTGGCTGACTTCCAGCTGTAGACTGTATTACTGCTGGTGGCATAGGAGCTAGACAGAACAAAGATTGACTTGCAGCTGTAGTTTTTAGTGCTGGTGCTTTAAAAACAAATTATTGTAAAAAGTAACCAATTTGCTCTGGAAATCATAAGGACAGTAAATGTGGAACCACATGATGCCATTTTTGCAGTAGTTACCTTTCAGAAGTTACCCAAACTTGCCATTACTTCTTGTAACACACCCGTGGCAACATCAAGTGGTCTGTGATGGATAAATACCAAGTTTTGGTGAAGGGCTTCCATATGGAATCTCTGGAATGCTTAAAATTCTAAATCATACCTATTTTTTAATGAACTTGTATAGGGAAATTTACAGCAGGGAATAAGTGGCTTTTCCACCCTTAACCACTTCCATGCTATAAAAATAAATAATAAAATATATATCTGGGAGGAAAAACAAAACTAAAATATGTAATTAATTGTGAACTATAGTTTAGATTTATAAATGTGTTGCTTAACTTGAGATAAGCTTTTATGAACTAATTCTAGTGATATCCGAAGAAAGACTTAATTTGAGAATTTTTCATCCAACTGAAAATTTGTAACATAATATTACAGTATAGCTCTTGAATTTGTTGACATTTTAAAATAAAGTACCTGACAGGTTCTAGTTTCTGAGTATATGAGATTGAGAACGATTCTTGAAATCAAAAGAAACTGAAATAACTGGAAAATATCCCTAAAGAATTTATAGAAGTCAAAACATTTCTCAGATTATGCTGTAGATCTGCTCTCCCTCTTCTACTGCTGATGTTTTCTAACAAGAAAATGTGTTAACTTTACACAGACTGCAGAGTAAACCCTCATAAAGTCAGTCTTATTAACAGAAATCTAAAAGTTGTGTGAGATCATTTTGTCTCAACTATAGTAAGTTTTACTGAATATTTTCTTTTCAGGAGGTAAATGCACTTGAATGTGAGATTCAGCTGTTGAAAAACCTGCTGCATGAAAGAATTGTTCAGTATTATGGCTGCTTGAGGGATCCCCCCGAAAGAACACTCTCTATATTCATGGAATACATGCCAGGGGTAAGCAAGAGAGCTCATTGCAGGCAATCATTTCTACAGAATGTGTGCCAACAGTCTAAATCAGGGGTTCTCAAACAGACGGTCATGACCCCTCAGGGGTCACAAGGTTATTACAGGGAGAGGGAGGGTTGCGAGCTCTCAGCCTCCATCCCCAACCCCTGCTTCACCTTCAGCATTTATAATAGTGTTAAATGTGTTTTTAATTTATAAGGAGGGATCGCACTCGGAGGCTTACTGTGTGAAAGGGGTCACCAATGCAAAAGTTTGAGAACCAATGATCTAAATGGATAAGATTTGCAGGAGTACACACAGATGTTAAGGAAATGTCTGATGATAAATCATTAACCAAAGACAGACACAACTGCATTATAACATTATTTGAGTTTTGCCTACTGTATTAATTGCTTATTAATTCAGAATTAGAATTAGTTTAGAGAGCACAATATTTGTGTGCTTCTGGCTGACTACTTGCAACAAATGTCTTTTAAAAACAGTTTTGTGGGCTTTTTTTTAACAACTTTTAATCATGTATCTCAAGTTTAACATTCCTTTTTAAGTTTGCATCCACCTCCAGCTTGACTGTGTTCTAGAGATGCTTCTAACAGATGAGGAATATACACAGCTGCCTCTTGAACCAATCAGCAAGCCTATGAAGGGAGTATCACAGTAGCCATACATAGGACTCCTGTTGACTTGGGGGGAGAGAGAGAGATCAAGCTCGAGTTCTAAGGTTTAGGTCTCTCTCTTAGTGTATTGGGCACTATTACTAGGTCACTGCGTCAGCCAGTCAAAGATGTTGTGAGGGCAAAAACTAGTTAATAATAGCCAGAGATAAGTTGAAAATTAGATCTTGCAGCTGTCTTTTTGTTGGCACAGAGGCATGTATTGTACTGTCCCTCCTGTCTGCCTACTCCTTTATGGAAATATTTTGCTTTCTGAAAACTGCAGATTTTCACTTATTCACAAAATAGAACAAGCAGACCTGAGTATAGTAAGATGCAGGTGTTTCATGTATCCCTAAATGTTCATAAGTAATTGCTGCATTCTAGTTTGTTGTTATAAGGCTGCACAGAAGAAAAATTAGGATTTTAGATGAGACGAGGATCTCATTTTAGAGACTTGTAACATTTTCTGAGATCTGGAGGACAGAGTATCAAAGTATGCAGTTTTAAAGACCTGTATAGTTTTGGGTTTTTGTCTTGGTACTGTTCCTTTTAAACCATTAAAGTGTGTAATTTAAAATGGCCAACCCAAATTGTATTAAGATATTGAGAAAAACATCAGATGTAGGCTGAGACTTTTTTTTTATGCCAAGTTTCTGCCTGTTGTTTTATTGAGACCTAAAACTTATTAAACAACATATTTTTAAATGTCATGCTCTGGGTTGTCCAGATCGTTTTCTCCGTTTGTTGTCTCTCAGAGTGTAAGATGGATTGGGTACGGTCAATGGCTGTGTCGTGTACAGTGCCAAACACAGCATCATCATGTAACTAGTAAATCTCTAAAAAATCATGCTTAGAAGGAAAATACTCTACTGTGTTATCTGTATAGCAGCTCAGCAACATTTAAACTATTTGGTATTTTTAAAATTCATTGTCTTGATAACATTTCTGTGTATCATTATGCTCCTGTTAAAGGCTGAATCATTTAGTTTAGCTGGAGATATAACTGCTAATGTGAATTAAGCTGATCCGGAGAAGTCGTAGAGCCTTGCATCTCTAAATTTCTGGTACAAACTTCATACAATCCAGTTATTTTTTAATAATGGTTAAAAGATAAATTATTCTATCATTCTTAAAAGTGCTATAATTATTAATACTTTTTCTTTTTGGCCACAGGGTTCCATTAAGGACCAGTTAAAAGCATATGGAGCACTCACAGAGAATGTGACCCGAAAATACACACGGCAGATTTTGGAGGGAGTTTACTATTTGCACAGTAATATGATTGTACATAGAGATATTAAAGGTAATTAAAGAAGAGATGTAAGTTCTGCTTTCTCTACTCCAAATAAGCAACATGACCTTGAAACATTTGAAGCTTCATAAACCAAAGGGAAATGATTGCAATAAAATTAAAGGGTCACTGCTAAATTTGTGATGCCAGAATATTGGCTTAACTTCAAGCAGTTCCATCAGGATTTACTTCAATAGTCCAGTCTTTGTAATGTTTTTCAAACCTGAAAATTGCCAATGTTGCAAACTGAGAAAAAAAATGTTTTAGTGAGTAATGGGATACTAATAGGGGTATATATGACTGTTTTAATATCAGGACTTTTCAAAACATTTATTTATGAACAACAATCCAGCGAACACAATGTTGAAACCCTTAGCGAGCGTGAGTAAATCTGGTGGACATAACTGTATCATAGCTGCTAAAATTGCTACATTATTTTCCTGTTTATGTGTCAATATAATTTTTTGTAAATTTCAAGGTGACAGATTTCAACTATCATGCTTATACCAAGTTAAATAAATTTGTAAACCTAAAAGTATGTCGTTCACTTTGAACATGATATGAAGATGCAGATTTTCTGAGTGCTCTAGGCACTTTCCTTCCTTACTTCACTTCTTTCTTACCCACCCAGTTCCCTTTTATTTATTCTTAATATAAGATAGATTTGGCAAGTCAATAACTTTCTCAGAAAGTTCATAGAAAGGACCTCCATAATTCCCAGGGGGTTGCAAATCAGTGTCAGGGAGCTGTGGCCACCCTGCCATTTTTATATTGCTAAATGAGGGGATAGGTAGTCCTGGTTAGAGGAATGGAGACCCCTAGAGCACTCTGATAATGGAAAAGGTTGAGAAGCTCTGAGTTAATCCAGCACTTTTTTTTTCCAAATTGGTCAATTTTTGAAGGATATAGAAATAACCTGCAAACTCTTAGATGACAGAGGTGCCCCTAATATTCTGCCCTCCGGATTTTGACTTTATTTTTGTTCATTAAATTATTTCAAATATAACTTCATTTAAGATTAGAATCAGGCCCCATATATTCCACAGCAAGAACTCTTAAATTCTGCAGCAACATTACTTTATTCTAAGGCCATAAAATAGTCTCTTGTCCCCATCGCCACCACGACCGCCAGTACACGCACAGCTGTAGCTCAGAGTGGAAAATAGTCATTAATGTAAAATTCATTCATGATTGTCAGTGGTGGGATTTTATTATGTTCTCCGGATGGCCCAGTTCCGCTACCTGGGCCTCAACTCCCAGGGTGTTGCCCAGAGAACTCAGCTCAGATCTTCCTTTTTTTCATAAGAGTCAGGAAAGTTGGAAGCAGCTAGCTTTAGCAGTTTACCTCCTTAGCTGACCTAGTCTCTTGCTTCCTAGCCTATCAAACTACGCGTCCATCTCCTCTCGTCCTTAGATGCGAGCTGGATTCTAGCTCTGGCTCCCCAACTTCCTGTTACCTGGCTCCAGTGAACTCTGCAGGGATCATGCACTGTAATTCAATTAACTTCCCCTTATGCGCAAAGCTGCAGAGCAAGAGGTAGTGCAGGCAGCCCAGGGACACACACAAAAATGTTGGTTGCCAGGCTGCAGCAAAATGATGAATTCCATGGCATTTTGGAAATATGCCAAATTATGCAGCTGTGGAATTGTGGCATCCACAGAGACTTGAGTGAGACAAATAGGGCAGGTTATGCCTCAGGACTATAATTTTCAGACTCTCTGCAGATGCAGGTAGATGACACTGCATCAGTTACACTTGGTTCAGATTTCAGAGGTTTTTTTCTCCAACCATAGGGGCTAGAAATAATTTTTAAAATGAAAGCTCAGATTCTAGAGAACAGTTCTGAGCAAGGGGCAAGTTCTGTGCCATGTAATATACTTGGCTGTTGTTATAATGCATCAGTTAAACCAAATGTGTGTTGATTCACTCTCATGCAGTTGATTGGCTTTTACTGACTATAAAGCAGAGATTTTTCTTTTTCTTCCAGGAGCAAATATTCTGCGGGATTCAGCAGGCAATGTGAAGCTAGGTGATTTCGGTGCCAGCAAGCGACTTCAGACTATCTGTCTCTCTGGCACGGGAATGAAGTCTGTCATGGGGACTCCATACTGGATGAGTCCTGAAGTTATCAGTGGAGAAGGGTATGGGAGAAAAGCAGATATCTGGTAGGTCAAAGAGCTATTCTAATGAAAGACAGCTACATACTACCCCAGAGGAGATGGTTTCACTGCAAAATATAAATTTTCATTATTTTAAGCATGAGCGCACTCATTATGTGTTTCTGGTTGCCCAAGGTGAAAACAAGCTATGTAGACAATGAAGAATATATTGGGGCAGGGGATCAGTTAACACTAAACAGATTGGTTTTTGTATATCAATGACTGTGCTGACTGACTTAGGACCACAAGAGAACACTGTGGACCAAGCTCACATGAAGTGAGGCCTATCTGGCATACTTGTAAATACTAGAGGGGCACTAACATAGGAAAATGTCACAATTAATTCAGTTCAGTGATTAATGAAAGTTACCTAAGTAGCATTTGCCCAAACCATATCATGAGCACAACCATGTTGAGAGGGGAAGAGGCTAATTTGTTTTAGTTTTATTTCTTTCTTCTGCTCCCTTATATACCTGAAGGTCTCTACCATATGTTAACAGGATGGATTACGTGTTGAGTTTACTTAGCTATCACACAAAATATAACACCAACATATTTTATACTGAAGATTTTATTTAAAAAAAGAAACTGCAACATTCAGAACAGTAGAACTAAGGGAGCATTGTGATTTGAAGAGCTCTTTGAGTGAAATGACACAACTATTTGCAAGTGCATTGTACTCTGGATGGTTGATACTCAAAAGGTCTCAAAATTAATAATTTTATTTATATAGTGTCCCATTCCCCATCAAAATGCTTGGGACACAGAACACACAGTGAAATATCACCGTCTTACAAGAATGAGAATAATTCTTCTTTGAGTGCTGTCCCTGTGGGTGCTCCACTTCAGTTGCCAGTGTGTCCTGGCGCCGCCGATCAGAGATTTTTTGGTAGCAGTGCCTGGTCGGGATGCCCGTGCACAGTAGCTGTTTTGCGATGTCGTTGGCACTTCATTTAGTGCTCGCGTGTCCCAACCCCCCTCAGTTCCTTCTCAGCCGTCCTCGGCTGCAGACAGAGCTCCAACGGCAGTGTCACAAAATTACCTAGAAAAGAATTTGAAATAGTTATTAGTTCAGTTTAGTCCCCAGTAGTTAGTTCATTGTTAGTCTTAGGTTTCCGTTTTAACCATTTAGACTTTTTCTTTTAAAAAAAAAAAAAAACCCACTCGGGAGTTCCCTTTCCCCCTTTTTCTTTTATTGTCCTGTGACTTAAGTTGGACTCTGAAAATGCCAAGCTCTCCTGAGTTTAAAAGATGCACTTCGTGTAAGGACACAATGCCTGTCTCTGATGGATACTCACAGTGTGTCCGCTGCTTACGGGAGGAGCACATTTCTCTAAAATGTTCCCATTGCAGCAACCTTAAAGCCAGAGCGAGGAGGGACAGGGATTTCTCCATAAGAATAATTTTAACACTACTGTCTGATAGCACTGCCACTAAACTGTGGAGTTGGCCCAGAAATTCAGATTGCTGGCTCTAGCATTTGTAAATCTTATTTTTCAAGTAAGAAATTAACGTGCTGTCTAGATAAACTGACCATGTGTCAGTGGGTCACAGCTGAGGATGCCAGATTCAGGACAAACTGCTGAGAAATAGGGCAGACTTACCCCCAAACTGATAGTTATTCTATCATAAGATATACCAAGCCAGTAATAAAAGTAAACTTCTGTCTCACCACACTGGTTAACAAGAAATAAAAAATGCAGTCTCTTTAGGCATTCCAGCACTTATTTTACCACCTAGACACTATACTTTATGATGAGTGGTTATTGAAAACCAATTTCATCAAACAGGGTTCTTCTGGTCTCTCAAGATCAGCCATATCGCCAGATCAATATATAACTCAGATCTTACCCACTAATCACGCTGTTGCCAGTCCTTTAGTGGCTAAAATCTAAAGATTTATTTTTAAGAGAAAAGAAGTAGTTTAAAATGGTTGAGGAATTCATTGCAATGATTATATGCATAAATTCTTATATCAGTGATGGAATAAACAATGATGGAATAAACTGCTAGTTTGAAAAAGTCTATCTGGAAGTTACCCAAATAGCTTGGGGATTATGAGTCCTTGTTTAGAGCTTCCTTGTTAGAAATTCAGTCCAGAAAAATGAAGCAGGACATGAAGACAAAATGGAGATGTTTCCAAGGATCTTTTATACCTTCTCCCATGTGAGTGGAATATTACTGTCCAAACAAAGTTCTCAGTCTCAGTTTGTGGAAAATTATAGGCACAAGGTGGATTCCAGGGTCACATGAGCAAGTCACATAAACATCTGCCACTGAAATAATTGCATTCAGGTTAGCTGACATGTGGAGCAGGACATAAGTTGTGATTTGCAGTAGCTAGCATGACCTTCAAATCAAGTGTGTAATTATAGACGTGATAAAAGTCTGTTTTTTCAATTGAATTGAGTTGCAATGTTGTGTGGGCAACAATCTTCCATTTGTGGCATTTCAGTAAGCTTCCATGTTGTAGTTTTTGTTTCCACGGGGGAGAACATCATTCTGTTTGTAACCTGCTCTTTTACTTTCACCTCTGTTTCAGGAGCGTAGGTTGTACGGTGGTAGAAATGCTCACTGAGAAACCCCCTTGGGCAGAGTATGAAGCAATGGCTGCCATCTTTAAAATTGCCACCCAGCCAACCAATCCACAGCTGCCACCTCATGTCTCGGACCATGGTCGGGATTTCCTCAAGCGGATTTTTATCGAGGCCAAGTTGCGACCATCTGCAGATGAACTGCTAAGACACACATTTGCACATTATCACTAACAGCCTGCCTCAACTCAGCTTGCATCTACTGCATTTATTTTCTATTTGACTGCACTTTTATTTTTATTTTTGTACAAAAAAAGGAGAAAAAAGACAAGAGAGAAAACATATTTCTCTTGATTCTTTGTTTCACTTAGATTATAAGCAAGAATCTAAATTTTTGTATTTAGAATGAGGGTCCCCCCTCCCAACCTAGAACCTTTTGTTTCTGTAATGTACTGATGTGGTTCACAGATAAAGCACTTTAGTACATATTCATTCCTTAACTAAGGGGAAAACAGAGATGTGACTTGGACTGTCAAGAACTGTAACATTTTCTAACACCGCTGACTGTCTCAGGATGCAGGGAAAAATACATTAGCAGCTAGCATGCAGGGAGAATAAAATCATTATCTGTGATTTGTTCTTTGTACTGTAGGTAGTTGCTGCTGAGGGTTTTAAGTTATATTTTAGCTTGTTAATCAGTTTCTGAATATCACACTTGAGGCATGAACCCACAGTTCTGGAAATTAATTAGAAAGCTCAAAGAACTTAGAACCCTCAGTAGAGAATGCTCTGCATAATAGAGCACCTGCCTGACACTTCCTTTGTGACCAAAAGAAAATAAGGCAGGAGCGTAACCCTAAATCAGTAGTTGGTGGGAGCTGGTATAAAGTTATTCTATTACCTTCATAGATCAAAAATTACAGGTAAATCAATTATTATAGATCCAAACTTCTAGAGACTGCAAAGCTCAGGGGGTAGTCTCCATAATGAAGAAACAAAAAATAACCAAAAAGATCAACAGATAAATAGAAATAAGTCAGGAGAATCCTTACCCCCTGCTGCTGCCAAAGATACACTTACTATAGAAGTTAAGGGGGTGGGAGGAGTCACTTCCCTTAGGTGATTGTAAGACACAAACCGGTGTGAGATAAAGTCCTTCACCATCCAATGAATGTCAAAGAAAAAAATTAATCCTTATTTACTGTATGCATTATCTGACTATCCAAATGAACTGCAAGGAATAAGACATTCAGAACAATTGTCAGAGACTGAGAAGGAATGTATTTTGAAGGTCATGCACCTGAATATAATAACAGGTTTTAGGGTAGCAGCTGTGTTAGTCTGTATTCGCAAACAGAAAAGGAGTACTTGTGGCACCTTAGAGACTAATAATAAATTTGTTAGTCTCTAAGGTGCCACAAGTACTCCTTTTCTTTTTTCTGAATATAATAATCCTTCTCAAATTGTTTTGAATGCGATTGTTTTAATAACACAATCCAGTTATTAGGATGTTAGAAAAAGTCCCTGAAATAAAATGAATTCTAATTCCTTGTGTCTAATTCCATTAGTGTCAAATGACAACAAGGCACTTCAAGACTTCTTAGGTCATATTTTTCAAGCAGCAATGATGATAAAAAAACTTTAAAATGCCTCTTTCCTAGGGAAAGCATTAAAAGCAGTCAACATAGAAACATCAGGGACAGACCATACAGAAAAAGTGGAATATTTTTAAAGCTGCTTGTGTGACGTAGCAATTGTACATGAATTTTGAAAATGAAGTCTAACTAAACAAAGAGCAGCAGCACAATGTGTCATGCTGAGTTTTGCATTAAAAATGACCAAAGATGTAAAAGGAACAAAGCAACTAAATAGTATGAGTCTACAATTTTGCAATCCAGAAGGATCAAACTGTGCTAGATCTCAGACAGTCATAAACTGTTTATTTATCTTTTCCATCTCTAGAACAGGGCAGTAAAAGAGTAAAATTCTGAGACAAAATCTCACAGTCCTTGAACAGCTCCACTGAAAAATACTGATGAGAAGCATTTACTAACTGACTTCACTTTAGAGAGAGAAGTCAAACCCTCCCATCTTTATAAAAGTATGCAATATACAGAATTTGAGAGAGAGTTTGGAAATAAGTTCTTTGACCTATATAACTTAAATTTGATTCTTGATAGTATGATTGATTCACTGGTTGCCTATCTTACCCTCACAGTTATGTAAAGACGGAATGTGCTGATGCTTTGGACATCAAACCATTCTGGCAAGACTTTGTGTAATGGTTCCAAGAGTCCACTGTGCTTTTTGTCCTTATTAGGACTATCAAAAGCTTGAGGTACATGAAAATTAAGAAATGAATGTATTGGGGCTACAATGAGAAATTAAAGTGTTGGCTCACGAGACAGAGACTCTTGAGGTTTCTGAATTTTTATTTTGCGAATTTAGCTGCTAAATTGTGTATCAGCAGCATAACTAGGAGTCTGGATCTATCCTAATCCATTTACCTGTAGTAGGTGAACAATTATTCTTCTATTGGGGTCACAATCACAATATTTTGGACAGGTGGCCTATTCTAGTTGTCTGTTTTCTGTGATTATTGTGACTTTTATCTGGTTGGTCATTTTGTTGGTCATGGTAAGCAGCAGTGCAGGGTTTACATGCATGAGATGAGAGTTCAGTCAGGGAAAACCCATGAGCCAAAATTAAAGTAAACTTGTGTTCACTTTCTTTGGCTTCTTTGTCACTCTATGGAAGCAGTCTATGGAAAGAATCTGCATGAACCTTTGTGCTGTAAAGGACCTTTGCTTCATAAGCAAAATTTAGTGGCAGTGGGGGCAGTATGGAGAGTTATGTAGAGACTGTCTTTAAAATACAGTAGAACCTCAGAGTTATGAACACTAGAGTTACGAACTGACTGGTCAACTACACACCTCATCTGTAACCAGAAGTACTTAATCAGGCAGCAAAGACAAAAACGCAGCAAAGACTATACAGCACAGTACAGTGTTAAATGTAAACTACTAAAAAAGTAAAGGGAAAGTTTTAAAAAAAGGTTTGACAAGGTAAGGAAACTATCTGTACTTATTTCATTTAAATTAAGATGGTTAAAGCCACATTTTTCTTCTGCACAATAAAGGTTCAAAGCTGTATTAAGTCAATGTTCAGTTGTAAACTTTTGAAAGAATCACCATAACATTTTGTTCAGACTTATGAACAATCTCCTTTCCTGAGATGTTTGAAATTCTGAGGTTCTACTGTAGACTAATAGTTTACATAATGTACAAACCATATATCTGAAATTGATTTCAAACGAATTAAGAAGGTATCAAAAGCCAAGCTGAAAATGTACATATATAGACAGTGGTATCTGAAAGGGTAAGAAAGTCATTTATATTACCAAAAAGTACAAAAAATGAACTTTAAAGGGAAAATGTAACCAGGTTTAACTGCAGCACTCAGAAATTTTAAAGATACTCTTGGATCAATAAAAGAAACTGCTCTCTGAAGCTTGAAGTTTTTAAAAAATATACCCTATTTGCAAGGCAGAGTTGGCTTCTCTATGCTGCAGTGTCATTTCTTAGCTGTGACTGGAAAACAAAACAAAAAAACCCAAGACTGCTGCTTTTGTGCCTTTTTAAAAGATTGCTTTCTGTCTTGACAATGGTAAACTGGTTTGAGATTGGGAAAAGAGAGAACTTGCAGAATAATACAAAGTTTTAAAAACTTTTAGGCATAGTTTTCCCCTTAAAATATAATTCCATCTGGATTGTAAATTGTTGGACATATCAGAAAGCTACTGAGGCAATATAGTACCTCTTTAATTATGACTAATTTCACCAGTTTTGTTGTTCATGATTAAGATGTTGTCATATGAATCACAAGAAGGACTGAACTATTTTTTTTACCCTTGGGAGAACCTCCCAACCGATCTAAGCTACTTATGTATAACCCTTTAAACAATTACTGTATAAAATAAAACTATATTTTGAGCTAGAAATAGGAACTATTGAAGCTAGTCAAATTCTGCCTTTTGAGAAACAGGCAGTACATTCATTCCCTTGCATGTTGCATTTTTGGAAACTTGGTAAGATCATGTTGAGGTAAAATGGTTTTTGTGTTATCTGCTTTTAATGATAGTGCAGTAGATCCCTACATGTCCATAAGGCATCTAGCACATCACTGGCAGTATAACTAATACAATTTATGTCTATAATTCTGAAGGTGCATGGAGCTGCATGATTAAAATCCCATTGAAGATGAGGGTCATGAAGCCAGATTTCTCTGCGCCACTTTGAATAACCTACCAACTAACATTAGAGTATTTTAGAATCGTTAACTTGTGAGTGCTACGTCCAATTATGAGAAAATGTCAGTGGAACAGAATGTTGTCACAGGGTTTTGGTCTCCTCCTATGTCAATACCAAAGCAGAACTGGGCTTACAGAAGTGTCAAGATTTATTGGGAGAGGAGAAATGCTTATTTTCAAATCAGGAGCTATTGATCTGGCAACTATTTTTTATTACACTGACTTTATTTCTGTTACATCTGTTTAGTAATAAATATTTAACAACTTGTCTGTAAATTGGTTTTAATAGTGAGCTAGTCGCTGCATAATTCTGATATGCTGCATTCTTATTGGCTTATATAACCAGTAGGTTTGTACTTCAGCCAGTCAGAAATAAGCTTATTAATTAAACTACAGTTTTCTGTGTATTTTTTAATAAGCTGGTTTCTATCTGATTGAAATGGAGAAAAATATGAATAACTGCTGGCTGGCACAGACTCCATTTGTAAAAACAAACAATGTGCTTTGGTACAAGTTCAGTCCTGTCTAAGGGGAGAATGATGTGCAGTGATGATTTTAAGAAAATGCTTACTTTACAAAAAAGAATTGAGTAGAATTTCAGTTAATCTAAACCACAAACTATACTTTATGCATACATAATTCCTTCCAATTTTTTTAGGCAAAATTTTTGAGTAATAGTTCAGGGTACGTTTCGAATTGAGTTAAACTGTCCTTTTGGTTATAATATTGAAAAATAATTTAGCAGCTGTCTCTTCAGCTAGTGCCTTTTTATCTGTATGCCTTAATTTTGTTTTTGTATAGACACCATATTTAAATCATATGGCCGTCTAATTATTCAGTGCCACCAAAATAGTCTTTAAAAATATATGCAAGTTTCCAAGGCAGAACTCACTAACTGCATCAAAAGTTGTATTTTAACTAGTATCTGTAGCAGACTTTTAGGTTGAGAATTTACTACAGTTGTTTTTAAATGATAAAAATACTTAGCACCTACAGTGCTCTCCTTTTTCAGAGTACTGTACAAACATTCCAACAAGGATGTTAGTGTTATCCCCATTTTACAGATTGGAAAACTGAGATGTGGGCTAGATAACTTGCCCAAGATCATAGGCTTAGACATGCCACTTGCTATACGTGGTACTGTACTATAATAAAGGAAGTTTGGCTAAGAAAAGTGTTAAGACAGAGCCAATACTACTGCACAAATTAGCAGATAGTTCAAATGAGCTACCTTTGTTTCCAATGATATTGTGTTCTCTTCTTTTAAATAATCCTAACTCTGCCATTGTCTTGAATGAAAGCGTTCCCGCTAGAAGCAGAAGGTGCAGTGCAGTATAGTAAGCCATTCCTTCAGACAACATTGACCAGTGTCAAACTGCCGCTTCAGAGACTTGAGCAAATTGGTCAGATCTACAGTTGTTTAGAACTAAATTTATTTGTTAGCTTTTTAATCGTCTAAGTTCTTTAAACTTTATCATGAATATAAAAAAGCATATTTTTGTGTGCTTGAACGGAAACCCATATGGTGTTTTTTGGATTAGCAACGGTATTACTGCCCATACCATTTCTTATTGCTGGGAACTTTCTATCTTGTATTCATGACAAGTATGCAGTGTCAAATCACTTAAAAAACCAAAGCTTTTCTATCCCCTCTACAAGAGCCAAAAGTGATGTTTCGTAGATTAGTACTGTTACTCATCCTTATCTACCAGTAAACTATTGCTAAATGGAATAAAACAGGTACTAGTAAAAGTTATGTCCAGCACTGCCCATTTTTAAGGATAGGTTTGGAGGCTCCTCGTTGCTGTTTTGAGATGCAAAATTCATTCCAGCATTAAAAGGAAAAGTTTGAACAAAGATCTACACGATCTTATTGACATCACTAACATAATGCACAAACTTGGTGATTAAATTCCTTTCCTATGATATTCTTTATAGCCAAGTTTGAGCTTGGGGGCATTTAAGGAAAGCCATGAAGAAAAGTAGATTTATGATCTGAACTGCTCGTAGTGCCATAGCAAACCAGAAGACTTCAGAGGTTGCTGCAGGAAGCAGTCCTTTTAATTTAAGAGCCAAATCTCACCCCTAGATACAAGGGACTTCCACTGCCCTTAAGGGGAGAGTCACGAATGCACACTGGAGGGAGCAGAATTTCCCCCAAGATAGGATTTCTAAGTCATTAAACTCCACATCAGGAACAAAGAGTGCTTTTGTTTGGCTGATTTATGTTTTAAATTTCTTTGGCATTACTTCAGTACCTTTTTTGGATCATATTTAAGCAATACCTTGGGGAAAATCTGTAGCAACTAAAGGTGTAATTCAGTTGACCTCTCACGTATTGAAAGGACAGAATTTAGTAAGCTCATTTTGACTAGCTTTTTTTTTTTCCATTATTTTTTTAAAAGGGGAGAAAAACTGGATAAAAATTAGTGAAAATTTGGCCCTGATCATTCAGTCGTTATGCTGGTGGGACTCCTGCTGGTAAGGATTGCAGGATCAGGCTCCTTGTGGGGAGGAGAGAAGAAAGATAATATGGGTTTACACTGAATGTAAGGTGGGAAATATTTCAGAAAGTTTTGCATCTTTTCCCCCTATAATAGATCTTCTTTCCCCCTCCCCCAAGAATATATAAATGTGGATATAAAGACAAGCATTGCATTTTTTGTCAGTTTCACAGTGTTTATCTTTTGCTAATACTGGTTTAAATCTTGATGTCATTCATTCTAAAATGTAAATGGTTTGTTAAAACTTGTCTGCCATCTCAGATGTCACACAGTTCATTTAATGGAATATCATTGTAAATAAATGTTGGAGACTTGGATAAGTTTGAAAGTAGGCTTTTTAATTTTCACAGTGCTATGAATAAATGTGTAAATTTGCCCTTTTGATCTAATGTACATTTTTATGTAGCTGTTAAATTCTCTATATTTAATCTATCAGTTTCTCTCTGTATATGTTTTTACTCTCAGTTGAATGCTGGGCACAGTTTGTAATGTATACACAAAGGTGTTTTTTTCTATCAATGTTGACTTTTTTGCACATTTTTGAAAATGTTTAATTTGTACACTGATTTAATACTCTGACCAATTGTTGATGGGCGTATGAGAATCAAGTATGTGTGCAATGTACTACTGTTTGGATGTATGTTTTTTATTACTTTTGAGATGTTGCTATCAGTAACTGCACTGCTGTTGCTGCTTTAAATGGAATATCTTGTGTACAAGTGTATTAGCCTATGGTTATATCTTGGTTGAGGAACTCAGGAGTTGAGCATTGCTTACTAGTTCTATAATGTGTCTAACAACTTTCCCAACTTTAAAGTATACTTGTAATTCTGTATATGAACTCTGTGTGTGTGCGCGCGCACGCGGTGCGTACACACACACACACACACACACAGAAATATCCCAGTTGTCTTATTCCACAGTTTCATTTCTACATTTTTATGAACTTGTTTTTTAAGGGTACTATGTTTAGTTAGAATAATTAAATATATAAAAGCTTTGAGAGATAATTTACTAGATAAATATATTTTCAGCTGGCTGATGTTCAGAAAATATTTTTTTAATTTTGTTTTTAATCATTCAAAATGTATTTGTATTTCCAAAATTGGACATGAATTGTACTTAGAAGTATATTAAAACACTCTGGAGGGACAACAGTGGGATTTCTCTTTAAGACTTTTGTAAAAAACCAAAATGCTAATGTGTCAGTGATACGGAGAAAATCCACTGTTGTGAAAAGGGGAAAGCAATCTTTGAATTCTCAGAGCTACTTGAAAAAATGTGAGGGGGGAAAAAATCAATCTTGGAAAAGTCAGATTTTTCCATCTCCTGTTCTTTGTGTTACATTTAATGGTAATGCTTCTCTTTCTTTATCCTTTCCCATTTCTAGTTTTCTGGTATTAGAAAAGATAAAGCATGTTACTATATTGTTGATTGATTGGCGCATGAGATAAGAACATGCTTTAAAAATGTGGCTTACTCCTTTCAAGAATACTAGTCAAACTTTTGACTTCCATTTTGATTAACATTTTTGTGGCTTAAAAAAAAAAAAAATCCTGTATAATGTTTAAAGTGATACCCAAGTAAAAATTCTCATGCTAGGTATACAGTGCACTGTTGAATGTCTCTAAATCCATAGTTTAGGAAAAGAGCCAGTATACTCTGTCAAACAAAGGACCTACTAATTGCCTGGTACGGTGTGGTTTCTTCCACTTTTCGTGCACATTTTGACTTTGTTACATTCTCAAAATTGTGCTTGTAAAAATGTATAAAAAACTTTTTTGATTTTTTTTTACTTTTTTATGTACTTACCTGTTTTATTTTCTTGCTGGTAAATGGCTTTTATTTTGTTTGGGTTGGGTTTTTTTTGTATCGGATGTAAAAGAAGCCATGTTTATATTTTGTGTTTGACCAATGACTTTGTTTATATGAAATTTATATATTGTTGGTACACATCTTTGTTTAGGTTGATCATGCATGAGGACCTGCAAGAATTAGCACAATGAAAGATTGCTTTTTCTTCCAAATTTTTATTCATTTTTGAAAGGTTATGGTGCAGAGGTTTACTGGATGTAACCTTATGAACTATGGAACGACTATAGATAATGGCACTTTGAGTGTTAATAAAACAAAATATTTATTTCCAATTTGTATTTCCCTTCATTTATTTTATGTTTTCAAAACAGCAAATTTACACGCTTCACATACTACATTTGCCTGCAACACTAGACTAGTCTGTTCAAAGTAAAGCAAAGTATATAACATGGTACAGAAAGCATCTCTCAACATCCATGAGCTAGAATGTTTAAATCTACAAAGGTCCTCTTATAAATGCAAAGATCGTGGAAATAAAAAACGATCACCCTCTCATGCTGTAAAGCAAATGCCTCTGATTTTTGTTATACAGTAAAAACTGGCCTGCGTAACTGAGATGGGAACCAAGAGCACAGTGTTCAACTCCTGCTCATGCCGAAAAGAGGTTGTTAGACACGAGTAAGCTCCAGCAGGTAGCTGTCTATGTGAAATACCATCTGCAAGGACACACTCCTGTTGTAGAATGGGGGAAAACCCATCTTTACTAGGTATGTTTTTATTTGACTTTTGGATATTTCTTTATGCAAACAAGGGAATATTCAGGCTATGTTCCGAATTGGGGAGGAGAGTCACGCTTTGTTGGAGAGAAATTGCAGATATTCGGCAGCTTTTTGTTGTAGTTCAACCTTGTGGCTGTCCCAGAGCTTGACAATAAGCCTAAGAGTATTTTTAAAATTTAGTCCGTTTGTGACTTATTTATATGACTTAGTTTTAACTGATATTCTCTAAGGCGCTGATTCTGCAGTTTTCAATGTATAGGCAGACTACAGCCTGAAGCCGCATTGAAATCAACAGGGCTGTCTGTCGGGCTGCAGCAGCATGTCTGTGCATTGTAAATTGCAGGATTGGGACCTGTCACCTAAATTTAACTTTTTTTTGCCTGGAACAATCATTTCTGCAAAAATGCTGAGGGATTTTTAACAGCCATACCAGGCAAGGGAGAGACATCATCTGTTCTGAGTTTAAGGAAGTAAGAATGGAGCTGGCTCAAAGTATGCTGTCATTCAGAACTAGAACTTTCACGTGGAAAAGGGACAACTTTTAAAAATAATTGAGAGCAAAACTAGAGCTCTTTAAGTAATCTTCACTAATATAGTGCTTCACATCCCCACATTTCAGTAGAAACAGTAGCTATGTGCCTTACAGTGATAGACTCAAGGAGCTCAATCTATTTTATAGCGGTACCTTTAATGTAGCAGACAAAGGTATACAAGATCCAAAGGCTTAAAGTTGGCTTAAAGGTCAGACTGGAAATGCATCCGATGAAGTGAGCTGTAGCTCACGAAAGCTTATGCTCAAATAAATGGGTTAGTCTCTAAGGTGCCACAAGTCCTCCTTTTCTTTTTGCGGCTACAGACTAACACGGCTGTTACTCTGAAAACTGGAAAGAAGGTGTGAATTTTTAACACTGAGGATGATTAACCACTGGAACAATTTACCAACAGTGGAGGTGAAATGCTCTATTGCTGGCCATTTTAAAATCAAGATAATGTTTTTCTAAAAACATCTGCTGTAAGTCAAACAAGAGCTGTCTCTGGGACGTGCCCTCTGGTGCTAGGTGCTGTACAAAGACGAAAGGCCGCCTGGGCTGTACCTGGAAGAGCTTTCAATGGAATGGAATGCACTGAGCATGACTGGCATAGGGGCTTGCCCTGGGGGTGCTGCTGCATCCCCTGGCTTGAAATGGTTTCCCTCATATTCAGGGTTTACAGTTTGGTTCAATGGCTCTCAGCACCCCCACTATACACATATACATTGTTCCAGCACCTCCGTGCCTGACAAAATGTGCTGGGGGTGAAGATAACGGAAGTAATCACTAGGGCTGGGGGTGAACAATTTGCACAATGGATGGTTCCCTACTCATTTTTAAAATAGATCTCTGCCGTCCCCTGTTGAGGGGCCGCAGGGGTGTCTGGGGAGTCCGGGGTGATGCGGGCTGCTGGAGTTTGTACAGGGGCTGACTGGGGGTGATGTGGGCTTCTGGGGTTGGTACAGAGGGTGCGGGGGGGGTGCCAGAGGAATGGGGGGGTGCGGGTTGCTGGGGTTGGGACACGGGGTGCTGAGGGAGTGGGGGGTGACACGGGCTGCTGGAGGGGTGCCGGAGTTGGGACAGGGGGTGCCTGAGGAATGGGGGGTGCGGGCTGCTGCAGTTGGGACACAGGGTGCTGGGGGAGTGTGTGGGGGGAGATGTGGGCAGCTGCGGTTGGGATAGGGGGCGCCGGGGGAGTGTGTGTGGGGGGGAGACGTGGGCTGCCGGGGTGGGGATGGGGGGCACCGGGGGAGTGTGTGTGGGGGGGGGGGAGGGTGCCGGGGGAAGGGGGGAGACGCAGGCTGCTGGGATAGAGATGGAGACGGGGGAGAGGCAGGCTGCCAGGGTGGGGACGGGGGGTGCTGGGGGAGTGGGGGGGAGAGGCAGGGTGGGGATGGGGGGCGCTGGAGGGTGTCTGGGGAGGGGGGTAGACGTGGGCTGCTGGGATGGGGATGGGGGAGTGTGGGGGGGGAGCGGGGGGACGGGGGGTGTCGGGGGAGGGAGACATGGGCTGCCGGGGTGGGGACGGGGGGGGGGGGGGGGGGGCCGAAGGAGTGTGGGGGGGAGGCGGGCTGCCGGGGTGGGGACGGGGGGTGTCGGGTGAGTGGAGGAAGGGAGACGCGGGCTGCCGGGGTGGGGACGGGGGTGCCCAGGGGAGTGGGGACGGGGAGGGACAGGCGGGCTGCCGGGGTGAGGATGGGGACGGGGGGAGAGGCGGGCTGCCGGGGTGGGGACAGGGGGTGTCGGGGGAGTGGGGACGGGGGGAGAGGCGGGCTGCCGGGGTGGGGACAGGGGGTGTCGGGGGAGTGGGGGGAGGGAGAGGCGGACTGCCGGGGTGGGGATGGGGACGGGGGGTGTCGGAGGAGTGGGGGAGGAAGAGGCGGGCTGCCGGGATGGGGAGGGAGAGGCGGGCTGCCGGGGTGGGGACGGAGACGGGGGTGTCAGGGGAGGGAGACGCGGGCTGCAGGGGTGGGGACGGGGGGGAAGGCGGGGTGCCGGGGGGGGACGGGGACGGGGGGGAGGTGGGCTGCCGGGGTGGGGATGGGGACAGGTGGTGTCGGGGGGGGGGGAGAGGCGGGCTACCGGGGTGGGGATGGGGACGGGGGGAGAGGCGGGCTGCCGGGGTGGGGACAGGGGGTGTCGGGGGAATGGGGACGGGGGAGAGGCGGGCTGCCGGGGTGGGGATGGGGACGGGGGGTGTCGGGGGAGGGGGGGGAGGCGGGGGGACGAGGGGGAAGGGGACGGGGGGTGTCGGGGGAGGGGGGAGGCGGGGCTGCCTGGGTGGGGATGGGGACGGGGGTGTCGGGGGGGGGGGGGGGAGGCGGGGGGACGGGGGGAAGGGGACGGGGGGTGTCGGGGAGGGGGGGGAGGCGGGCTGCCGGGGTGGGGATGGGGACGGGGGGTGTCGGGGGAGGGCGGGGGGACGGGGGGAAGGGGGGGTGTCGGGGGAGGCGGGGTGCGGGGGGGGGACGGGGGTGTCGGGGGAGGGGGGAGGCGGGGGGACGAGGGGGAAGGGGACGGGGGTGTCGGGGGGAGGGGGGGAGGCGGGCTGCCGGGGTGGGGATGGGGACGGGGGTGTCGGGGGGAGGGGGGAGGCGGGGGGACGAGGGGGAAGGGACGGGGGTGTCGGGGGAGGGGGGAGGCGGGCTGCCTGGGTGGGGATGGGGACGGGGGTGTCGGGGGAGGGGGGGGGGCGGGGGGACGGGGGGAAGGGGACGGGGGTGTCGGGGGAGGGGGGAGGCGGGCTGCCGGGGTGGGGATGGGGACGGGGGGTGTCGGGGGAGGGGGGGAGGCGGGCTGCCGGGGTGGGGATGGGGACGGGGGGTGTCGGGGGAGGGGGGTGCGGGGGGAAGGGGGTGTCGGGGGAGGCGGGGGGACGGGGGGGAAGGGGACGGGGGGTGTCGGGGGAGGCGGGGTGCGGGGGGGACGGGGGGTGTCGGGGGAGGGGGGGAGACGGGGGGACGGGGGGGAAGGGGAGTGTAGGGGGAGGCGGGGTGCGGGGGGGGGGGGGGGACCGCGGCTGTGATGGGGACCGAGGCGGGGGACGATGCGAGGGCGGGTGCCGGCGGGTATTTGAGGGGTGCCGGGGGGACTGGGGAGGGGTGCGAGGGGAGGGGCTGTGTGGCGCGGGGGTTGCTAGGTGACAGGCCGCGGGCGGCGCCCCGTCCCGGAAGTGACGCTCGGGGCCGGGGCCGGGGCCGGCTGGGCGGGGCCCGCGGTGCTGCTGGCGGCGGGCGGGCGCGGACGGGCCCGTGACGATGGGCCGGCGGGAGCGAGGTGAGACCCCCCCCCCCCGCGGCGGCTCCGCTCCCCGCCAGCGCCCCCCCGCGCCCGGTGCGCCCCTTTCCCGCCCCGGGCGTAGCCGGGGTCCCCCGACGGGCCGCGCAGCCTGCGGGGCGATGGGAGCTGCCCCCGCCCGGCTTCCCTGGGCTCCGGCCGCCACCAGCCGCAGGGGCCACGTCTGGACACCGGGCCCCGGAGCTGTGGCCCTTAGACTGGGCGTGTAACAGGCGTGTGCGCGTGGCAGGAGCGCGCGCGCGTGGCCGTGTCCGCGTCCGCGGGCGCGTGGCAGGAGCGCGCCCCCGCGTCCGCGGGCGCGTGGCAGGAGCGCGCGTCCGCGTCCGCGTGGCAGGAGCGCGCGTCCGCGTCCGCGTCTGCGGGCGCGTGGCAGGAGCGCGCGCGCGCGCGGCCGCGGCCGCGTCTGCGGGCGCGTGGCAGGTGCGCGTGTCTGTGTCTGCGGGCGCGTGGCAGGTGTCTGTGCGGGCGACTGTGTGTGTATGCTTATGGTGGGTGAGTGTGCATGTGTGGCAGGTGCACGTGTGTCTTGTGTGTGGCAGGTGAGTGTGTGCCGGTGCCTGGCATGTGTCTGTGCATGCCTTGCACGTGCGCACCCACACACCACCTAGCACGGGGGAGCCCCCTTATTGGTGTGCGAGGTTGGTCATTACTGTCCTACACATATTAAATAACCTTGTTGTGCTTGGTGCCCCTGTAACTGATGGTGGGTGTGATTGAAATCCAGGG